CAGTGCCGTTACGCTTACAAGAAACACTAATGAAGCGAAAGGCAGCGTGTACACGTAGCAAGGTTGTTTTCCTTTGAAATGTGCGTGTCTCATTTAAATTTATTATCAGTGCCACACGGAGCCAGGCTCCACTTTGCACGTACATATCAAATGGCCGACTGACTCACTGACATAATGTTTCTAGAAATGATTTGTTTGGAGCTGGTCTTGTTTGCACTGTCCTGGAGAATGAGAGTGTAATGGAATCTTTGTTTTCTTGCTGCTCGTTTAGGTTATGTCTACTGCCGTGGTAAAATGGAAAATATCACTTAACGTAAGGAAAATGGCTTTGACCGTTCAGATCCTGAAGAAGGAGGATAAGAAGAAGAAGTAAAAAGAGAAAATGGGACAGATGCGACAGACATGCATTTTGGGGGAGGGACAGAAGAAATTCCTCCTTTGAATTTTCCGAGGCAGTACCGCTAGTCCTGCAGTGCGGTCACACTTCATTGCGAATTTGAAATAGAGCGATATAAAAAATGTGAACCAAGTCCCATATTATGCGCGAAGTTTGAAATAATTTGAATCCCCACCCCCCAAAATCAACAATAATCACGCATGTGTTTTAAAAGTTGGTTTGAATTATGCGAGGTACTCAGAAAAGCATCTTCACATAAAATGCGACCCCACTGCAGACGTCTGAGAGAGGGTAAAGTGTTGGGAAGTGAAGAATGTAAAGTGCTAGGAAGTTGACTTTATTGTGAACAGAGGAAAGAAGTTGAGCGGGGATTTTACTGCGTAGAATGGGAAATTTGATATCAGAGTTGGAAGAGCTGTCTTAGAGTAAAATTTTTCATTTTACATTGGGAAGTCTTTATTAAAAAGCTATCCGTGTAACAGGCCGTGGAGGCTCATGGGGTTGTGAGAGATCGAGGCGCCCACATTTTCAAGACAATCGGCTTAGAAATGGCAGTGAGGTTGTCAGCATTTCGCGCCGGCAGACAGCCCTTTACCCCCAGGAAGATTCCTTGTACTCGTTTCTGTTGAAGGTTGAGTCGAACCCCAGGGCCATAGTGCCGCTGGAAAACCTTATATACACGTTTGTTCCGCAACGTTGCCTACTGAAAGCGTGAAATATCCTCAAAGATGTTTTAGACAAAGTATAGTAAGTTTAGAATAATTTGGCCCCCTTTCGTGAAATTCCCCTTTTGCTCATTTAACTGTATTCGTTATTGGAGTCGAGTGAGGTGAGAAATCAACTATGTACAAGCCAGATCAGAGGAGGGAGCTGGCATAGCGATGGGGTTCCAGCTGAAAACTCGGGGTTCGATTCCCAGCAGAGGCAAGAGATTTTCTCCATTCCATAGAGCCCAGACCGCCTTTTGGGCCCATCCAGCCTCCTGTTTAATGGCTACCGGGGGATCTTCCTGGGGTAGAGCGGCCGGAGTGAGAAGATGACCACTCGCCTTCATCCATTGTCGAGATCAAGAATAATTGAGATAAGCCTCCACTTCCCTATACGTCTTTAATGTGTAGTGCTTAATTAATTAAGGTCAGGGGCAACTTTTTTTTTCCTGTGGCGCTACAGCACCAATTTGGGCCTAGGCCTACCTCCATGAAACTCTCCGTTTCACTTCGGTTTACTAGATCTTAAACATTCGGTGGGACTCCTTGGGCGAGTGATTAGCTCGTCGCAAGGCCTCTACCTGTAGACAAACACAGAAAAACGCACACAAACATCCATGCCCTGAGTGGGATTCGAACCCACGATCCCGGCTTCCGAGCGAGCGAAGACAGTGCATGCCTTAGACCGTGACCGGCTAGGGGCATCTTTACCAGAGATGATGAGAGCAGTTGGGAGATTTGGGCATAGGTGGGAGGAAATAATAAAGTTGGGCTTGGAGAAACAATATGTACGGACATGGAAAAAATTAAGGAGGGGCTGAGAGAGGCCAGGACAGCTTGTTCCCCGGAACGTAAACTAAAGCTGTTCCCATACTTAACTAACTAAGCACTACGCCATGAAGATATATAGACCTCGGAACAAGTTGGAAGTGGTCAGCTTCACGCTGCGGCCCCTCTACCCCCGGGGAAAGAGCTTCCGGTACCGGAGGAGGCTGGGTGGGCTCCAGAGTCGGCCTGGACGCCATGGAGAGAGGAATCATGCTCCTACCGGTACTCGATATCCGAGCTCTCGGCCGTCAAGCCCGTAGCCAGGACCCCGTACAGGGGCCTATAATCGTGGCACGTTACTGTAAACCCATCATGCCTGACAATTCCATTAAAGATTACAAAGACGCCAGATGGTAAAATCATACGCATGCATTGCAGCATGGCTGCCAAGTGAATTCTGTGAAATCATCAGCCATGAGAATTCATGCATTAGTTGAATGGTAAACTGTAAATTATAATTTAGTTAAGTTAAGAAAATCTGTCGTGAGAAATACTTTACGAACACATTTGGACCTCAGATCTGGTCACTCACTGATTAAGACTAAACTGAGAAGGGTCTCAAGTAACAGGTTTACTCGTCTACTTTCCTTTCTTCAGGAAAGAAAATGTGTACTGGATTATATGGGCCGTGCCTTAGCTCAGGCCGGATGGCCCGGGTTCGANAATAATAATAATAATAATAATACTGGTTTATATCACTGTGTGTCGCACCGCTTTAAATATCTAACCAGTTTTCACAAAATTCCGTGCAGAAGTTACTCTAACAGACACTAATCCGAACCTTCTACCTTTTTAATTTCCTACAATCAGTAATGATAACATGGTAGAAGCACGAACTTTTGAGGTGGAAGCGACGTCAAGTCTCGGAAATTAAATTATAGTAACAGGGATTCTAAACAAATGCAGAATATAAAAGGTTGTACTTTTCTCTAGTTCTGTATGCGTTTCAGAAGTGTCTCTGATGTTAAGGGAAGAACTTGGACTGCGCACGTTTGCGAACAGGACGAGTTTGGACCCAACAGGGATGCCGGTTAGAATAGAATAAGGAGCTGCTTGGTTCCTTGTACTCCTCACCAAACATAATTAGAATGATCAAGTCAAGGAATACGAGATGGGTATTGCATGCAGCAAACATGGCACGGCAGTGCTTACAGGGTTGTAGTAAGAAAACCCGAAGGTAAGAGACCATTAGGAAGACCTAGATTTAGATGGGAGGATATTAAAATGGTTCTTAGGAAAATATGATGGGGGTAATAGATTGGTTTCGTCTAAGTCAGGATTGAGACCAGTGGCTGTGCAACCATTAGCTTGTCAAGTAGGACTCAATTCCACGGACTTAGCTAGTTAGTTGGAGTTCGATCTGATAACCATGTTCTTTTGAGTCCAGCACGCTAGTCCGTAATCCAAACTGAATTTTACTGTCTGTTTTTAAAAGTGAGTCTATTATGGCTCTACAGCCCTTTTTGGGCCTTGGCCGATTTTAATTTCTTAATCTATAGAAAGTCGGTAAGACTCCTTGGACGGGGGATCACAGCGTCGCAAAGCCTCTACCTACACACAGAACAACACAAACACAGAATAAACGCACACAGATATCCATGCATCGAGTGGGATTCGAACCCGTGATCCCAGTGTTTTAGCGAGCGAAGACCGCACAGCCACTGCGATTTGCAAACTTGGGTCTACATTATCTAAATACGACATAAGCAAGACAAGACGTACATACAGAACTACAAGTCCGCAATTGGAAACTGGATTTGCGAGTTCTGGTCGGAAATTTAAAGATACTTTCTTGTCTCGATAAATTTACGCGTCAACCTGTAATTTATATTCACGATAAAAAAAAAACAACCAATAACTAACTTTAGTTGCTGTGCAGTTAAGCTGTCCCCTGAAGCGAGGGTCCACTTTAACTAGCTTCAGCGCTTGAGAGGTGACAAGAGGCGTATCTTTCACCGATGTCAACAACGAAACAACAGATGAGAAGGGCTAACCGAGATATCTTGTGTGTTACAACGCGGGACTGCTCAATCTGTTTTAATTTGACACTAAGTTACTAAGATGCCGGTCACGGTAGCCGAGCGGTCTAAGGGATGCACTGTCTTCGCTCGCTCGGAAGCCGGGATCGTGGGTTCGAATCCCACTCAGGACATGGATGTTTGTGTGCGTTTTTCTGTGTTTGTCTACAGGTAGAGGCCTTGCGACGAGCTGATCACTCGCCCAAGGAGTCCTACCGTATGTGTAAGATCTAGAAAAACCGAAGTGAACGGAGTTCATGGAGGTAGGCCTAGGCCCACTGGGGCTTTAGTGCCAAGAAAAAAAAAGTTACTATGATTGTATGAAGTTAAGTTCGCCCATCGGATCCCTTAGCTGTCGGGCTCCTTGGCTAGTTCGTAAGGTTTGGTCCGTTTGAGTCGCCTGGTTAGGTTTCCCACATTTAGGAGCCTGGACGCTTCTTCATTGACGTGATGTCGAAGTCGGTTTTCGTGTGAGGTGGCCTGGTATCGCTGGATTACTTCGACTGTTTCGATACCGAGGTCTCGATGGAGGTCCCTGTAGCGTACATACCAGGGCGCATCTGCTATGCTTCTTAGTACTTTGTTCTGGTATCGCTGGATTACTTCGATGTTGCATTTTTTTCGCACATACCCATAGTTGGACGCCATATGTGCAGACTGGTCGCAGCATTTGTTTATACAGGAGCAGCTTGTTGTACATGACGTCCGATCGGCCAGTACATTTTCCGAAATTTGCAGTTCCTCTTGCTTCTTCTTAATATGCTCCTTCCATCGGAGTTTGGCGTCAAGTGACATTCCGAGGTACTTTGCCGTGTTGGCAGGTGGTATTCGTACTGCATTTAGTGAGATTGATCGCTGATTAATCTTTTGGTTGGCGAAGTTGATGTACGTAGATTTGGTTTCATTGAGCTTGATACGCCATTTACGCTGACAGTGACGCAGTTTTGCTCAACGGCCAAGAACTACTCTCCGTCCGGTAATTTCCCCTCCCCACTTCTGAATCTACGTACACAGCAGCGGGCTGAGGCGACCAGTATGCCGATTTAAACATTCACCGGCCCGCTGTTCTCTCAGTCTTGCAGAATCGCGCGTGAAACGTTCCTGTTCCGAGATGAAGCTAAGGTGGTTTGTCTGTCTGTCCGCAGCACTTGCAACAATCCCCTGGACAGAAGGCGCCCAGCCGGACCGTGTCGTGTGCTATTATGATAGTCGCTCTAGGCACAGGGAAGGTAAGGAACAAGAATGTTGTAGCGAGTTATATTTTGAATAAGGTAGGAAGTACCATCCGGTTTAACCGATATTCTGGATGAATGAAGCAAAAGATAGCCCTAAAAGACAAAAATAAACATTAGAAAACAAATAAATGGAAAATCCAATAATACAGGTACTGCTGATGAACATAAAAACATATCATTTCAGCATTTCTTCCTCTGTCAGAAGCTGAAATCCAGGGTCTCCATTATCCAGCTGAAACCAATCTTAGATATTTCCTTGCGGGGTTTCAGTCTCTCCAGATGCCCTCAACACAGTCTGAAAGTCCTCTTGCTCTTAAATCCCACGTGTCTTTCAAAGTTTGTACTCAACTGTGGGCAGAATTTGCCATATTTCTGTCCGGAATTGATGTAACAGGATCAATAGACCATTGAAGGTCGCAGTGCGAGGGCCGGTTTTTATGGCTCACCCCTCATACTCATATTCATAGTGTAACAGGATTATCGAGGGTTTACTGTATCCAAAATTATTTTATTTCGTCGTTTACTCAACCAAGCTGTCAACAGCTCATTAGCTTCAAATGGTAATATGACTGATTAACTGGAAAGTATGTGGAAGGAAGAGGTCTTCGTTTCGAGTCCCGCGGGACTCGTGGCCATAATATTGTTCTTTCCAAGACTTGTACATGTCCTGAGATGGGGTCATCTCTTCGACGAGGAGGGGCTTGCTACTACTGGTCAGGCTGGTCAGTCCCGATTGACTCGATCGGGCACTAATTCGCTAACTGGCCCTCTCTTCCACACGCACGCACACACATACACAAATATACTGTGACGACTGTGAATATCTCACGGACGGACGGATAAACTGCGCCCGGTCCTCGCCAGCACAGTGATTCTTGGTTCCGAGTCCCGAGAGAACGTGTTTACCTCACTGTTGTATAGCAACGGCCGAGTCTATTCATTAAACTATTTCGACTTTTAGCAGTCATGTCGCAATATTATTAAAATGCGTTTTACTGAAATACAGTGAATTTATATGAGACTTGAGATTGTTTTCACGGCGGTAAATATTAAGGTTGAAATCTAGAATGTGACACCGTATAGTTCGGCAGTATAAGGACATCACATCCAAGAAATATCAGTTGCATCAGAATATGATTTTGTGAACACGGTAATGAATCTTTGTATTCCATATGTGCAGCCTTTGCCTTGTGCGCTGTAAGAGTTAATGTTCCAGGGAATACTTTATGGCCCATGGATTTAGTTAGGTCCCAACGGTGCACTTTCATGACTGAATCTCTTTTCAACGACGACATAAATACGCTTAACTCTTCCTCGATAGATTTTCAAATGATTTCCCGAATTTGCTCAATCATTTGCACGCCCATAAGAACAGTCTCCCTCTGACGGAATCCCCAAATTCGAGAGTTCTGACGAGCAGTAAAAAAGCACGCTAATTATCAGCCATGCCTTAAGACAGGCTGGAGAATAAAATCTCTCTATTAGCTCGGCTATAAAACACGCAGCCACAGGGAAAACCAAGTGTTATATTATGCATGTTCCATTCTTGGTTCTAAGAATTAACTTGAATAAAAAACATTATCCTTGCAACGGGCTGATCGGCCACCCATGGAGTCCTACCGACTGTCTGTAAGATACATAATTTGATAATTAATTCTGAATAGGAACAGTCCAGAGAGCATAATCCGCCAAGGTAAAGGGAAAAAAATATTATCTTTCTCGTGTACTCGTATTGCTAGTTGTCTTTCCGCGCGTTTTACTGTCGGTTGTCAAAATAAACTGTACTTTCACTCTCCGGTTTTATTGTGAGGTGTCTGTGTAAGCTTTAGCTGCAGCTATGGTTACACTTTCATTGTCACCTCAGTATAAACGTAAATGGAAACTTACCCCTCTGTTTTAATGACAGATTTCAGTATAAGATTTAATCGAAACAGCGACTTTCAGCGTCACCTTTACTGCACAATTGTTGATATTATATTTTAATCTAAACAGCTGAACAAAAGAACAGCGGACTATATACATATTTTCACGTGACTGAGTGTGACTACAGACGGGGTTTGAGTTGATGATCGGGTTTATTGGACTTTTTGATACAGCGCGTGCTTACACTTTACAATTCACTATTACATAGACACTAGTATTCACACGCACATCGTCACCAGTCGTTTCTTGGTAACGGCTTCCAACAGCGGACGTTCACCTTCCTCTGGCTTCCCGAACTATCCCCGGCCTCAGTTACCAACTTCTCAGAGCAAGAGCTCACATCGACTCAACATCAGCAATCCTCTCTCACTAACTGCCCTGCTTATAACATTTCGGCACGCACCGTGCAAAAAAAAACACCGTTCCTCTATTGCAGTATCCAGTTGTTGCCGTGGAAACACGCTTGTTTGCGAAACCGTTACCTAGTAACGGCTGTTATATATTTGCTTATCTAGTGGTCATTTCCCTGCAACGGGTCTATATGCCACAATATATAGCCTTCAACATTTTCCCTTCAGGCAAAAACGCTTGAAATTTGTTTATAGTCTTGCATGTTCATGCGCAATGGCCCTATGTAGGAAATCGGTGATTGTTCTTATTGTTAATGTATTTAATTCTGAAAATGTATTAAAGAAGCATTGATTAAATAGACAGAGGTCTGCTATGTTGGATGTGAGGATCTCAACGGTAGTGACTGACTTGTGACGCCGCGTAGCCCGAACAGATGAAAGCTAAGCAGATAACATCTGTTCGGCCTTGAACATGGAAGCGATATGATTCTCCGAAATGTTGGGCTTTTTCCGAACTACACGGAAAGGTCTATCATGGATTCTAATGTTTCTGGTTACTGCAGATTTACAGAGACAGCATTACCAGTAAAGTCGAATTTGTCGCATGGTGACGGGTTGTTACATTAGGACACTGACGGAAATAATAACACTTTTTGACATGCCTGAAGAGAAGCCAGAACGGGTAAGTTGATGACGGCGACTGTGATCTATTTGCAGGCGTTGGGAAAGCAGAGGCTCCCGGGGACATAGAGCCCTCGCTGTCCACCTGCACGCACCTCGTGTATGGGTTTGCTGTTATCGACGGTGCCAACTATAAGTTGGTGCCCCTGGACGAATACCAGGAGCTTGACTCCGGGAAGGGTTACTACCGAGCTGTGACGTCACTAAAGAAGCGATACCCGGGGCTCAACATTCTGTTGTCCGTTGGGGGTCTGGCTGACCCCGAAAAAGAAAAGTACCTTACCCTGGTATGTGACGCCATGTTGAGAGCCACATTGTATAATACATTAGCATATTTCACACAGAAGCACACGAACTGCAATAAGTACAGATATAATGCTATAACAGTTATTGTCAGGCCATTCATAAATCTACTCTCAAATTTTCATTTGTGTATCACGTATTAAAGGTATAATTAACAGTAGTTAACAGAATAATTGATTATAAACCGATATCGAAATATTTAATATTTGGTTATAATGGACCCATTTTAATGATTAAGTCAGTGACGACATAAGAAAGTAAAGCTATCCCTGTAACAGGCCGTGGAGGCCCGTAGAGTTGTGAGACGTCGAGGCTCCCACATTTTCAAGACAATCGGCTCACAGATGGCGGTGAGGTTGTCAACCTTATGCTCCGGCCGCCCTTTACTCCCAAGAATATTCCTGGTACTCATTCTGTTAGAGGCTAAGTCGACCCCCGGGCCATAGTGCGGCTGGAAGGATTATGTCAATTGAAAAATATCCAATGACCTCTTCAGGATTCGATCCCGCGACCCTCCAGCTTGTAGCATAGTGCCTCAACCAACTACGCTACTGCGGCCCCCCTTACTTTACTTACTTTACAGTGACGACATATGTATTCATAAATCACCTGATGATGATCTCTGCAGATCGAAACATGTAATGGGATGCAAATAAAAATAACAGAATATTAAACATTTTGATATCAGTTTATAATCAGTTGTCATGTTGACGGCTCTCAATTATACCTTTACAACTCTCAAGTGTTCATAATGTTCACAAGTTCTTTAACGTCGAAAATAAGGTCTGCAAAGAACTTCCGATGTCTGCTATGGTTCAAGCTCTTTAGATACAGGTAACACTAAAATTAACAGTATCAGAGCTTTGCATATATCTTTTGCGCAACATTCAGATGGAGCATTTGAAATGTGTTATAACGTCAATGGCTCACACTGAACCCGTATTTGTATTCACAACACTTTTTAGTTGCTGTTTTAATGCCTCTAATTTTGTGGAATAACGTCTCGTTTTCTAGTTACGCAAGATTCTTGTATATTCAAGGAGAAATCCTACGTACTAATGCCCCGTTGTGCACTAATTTTATTGTCATGTAAATTCTTTTAGTTGGACTGATTAAAATGTGTTTATATGAAACCTACAGTAAAGTATGTATAGGCAAATATTTGTCTGATAAGTTTCCTATCCAAAATGGTCTAAAACAAGGACATACTTTTAGGTAGTACAATGTTTAAACACAAGGATATACATAAACGAACCCGGAAATCCCCTGATGGAAATGTGTTTAATCAAATTGATCAGATCCTAATAGATGTAAGACATTGTTCAGATTTGATGGATGTCAGGAGCTACAGGGGGGCCAACATTGACTCTGATCATTACTTAATAATATCAAACATTAGAAGTCGAATATCTAATGCAAGGAAGATTCATGGATCCCAGGCTAAGATATTGAATTGTGGAAAATTGGTGGAACAAGGATTTGCAACCAGATATGCTGAATTAATTATTGAATACCTGGCAGGTCTCTCTGATAGTGAGGATGTCAATGAAGTTTGGAGGGGCCTCAGAGATGTTATTATAAATGCTGCTGGTGAAGTCTTAGGGAGAATGGAAAGGATAAAGTATAAGAATTGGTTTGATGGAGAGTGTGAGCAAGTGACAAAAAAAAAACAGGCATATAAGAGAATGCAGCAAAGGAACCATACTCAAGGGGCTGTGAAAGAATACCGTGAAGTGAGAATAAAAGAAAAGAGATTGCATAAAAATAAAAAAAAAAAAGGGAATTTGATAAGAACTGATTGAACCGGAGCATTTAAGAAGTTCAAATGAAATTAGAGCGTTTTATCAAAAACTAAACGAATCAAAAGGACTTTCAACCTAGAGCAACCTTATGTAGAGATAAAGAAGGCATGATATTGAGTAGCGATGAAGCAATATTGGAAAGATGGGCGCAATATTTTGAGGCTTATTAAATGGTAACGCCTCTGAACAAGTGGAAGGTATGACCATAGACCGGAATCAAGGAATTTTTGAGGCTGAAGAGCCAGCACTGACCGTAGAAGAAGTAGAACAAGCTATCAGAAAATTGAAAAATAATAAAGCTCCAGGAATGGATCTCATCATGGAAGAATTAGTGAAATTTGCAGGCCCAGAATATGCCAAGCACTTACATCAGCTAACAGCGGCCTCCGTAGTCTAGGGGTAACGTTCCCACCTCGTGACTCAAGGTACGCGGGTTCAAACCCGGCGGAGGTCATGGAATTTTTAAGGGCAGAAAAATTCAGGGAACAAGTCCTCCAGGAGGGACTTTAAGCCAGGGTCCCGTGTCATAGCTTTATGGCACGTAAAAGAACCTCATGTCCCAAGGGGACCACTGAGCCAAATTCAGGACATTTCCTGCCCAACAGTAGTCTTTAACGCCTCTGGTAGAGGGGGGAAGCATCGAGATACCGCTGAGCCAGTAGAGGCCGAACTGATTTCAGAAATTGTAAAATATGAAGAGAACAAACAAAACCAAAAAAAAATCAACACAAAGGGAACTATATTCTATAAGTCAGTTCAAATTTTGGCATTTGCAGAAGCACTTTTGTGCTGAAACATGTAGTGCAAGAGAGAGGAGTGAGGTGAATAAGTGTATGCACTGTAGGATGGATAGAATAAATCACGGACATGAATCAGTGCAACAGGACGCTAAAATATAAAATTATTTGCAGAAGATATTAATATAATTAGTAGAAAATAAAAATCTATGAAAGAAGCTGTTCTTAATTTGGAAAGAGCAGCAAAAAAGATGAATCTACAAATTAACCAAAATAAAACAAAGTACATGCCGATAACCAAGAAAGACTGTGCTACTGTACCTGAAATTGACTCATATAAATCTGAGGCTGTATGTAGTTTCACTTACCTTGGATCAGAAGTTAACTGTAAAAATGATATCAGTGATGAAATAAAAAAAGCGCATACTTGCGACAAATAAATGTCTCCATGGCCTTAGGAAACACCTGAAATCCCAACTAATACCCAGGAAAACCAAAACTATGATGTATAAAGCACTTGTAAGATCAGTGCTATCTTATGCGTCTGAGACATGGCCACTGTCAAGATCGGATGAAAGACTGTTAAGTATTTTTGAAAGGAGGATCCTGAGATATATCTTTGGACCAGTGGAAGAAAATGGAATATGGAGGAAGAGGTATAACAATGAGCTATACAAACTATTTAATGAACCAGACATTATTGGATTTATAAAGGTGAAAAGGCTTGAATGGGTTGGACACACAATACATGCCAGCGAGAATAGAACGATTAAGAAAATACTTAATACTAAACCAGAAGGAAATTGGAGAGTAGGAAGACCAAGATTAAGATGGGAAGAATGTGTGTGGCAGTACATCAGAATTTTGGATGTAAAGAACTGGAGCATTTCTCCAAAACATCAGGTGCCACCTAAAAGTGTACACCATATGTGGTACCTAGCTCAGAAGACCACAGTTTGTTTTATCTTTCCTGGTTACTATTCTTCTAACTTGGCATCTTACACATTCTGTGTGCCAGCCACAGTGTGAAATGTGTTATGAGAAAGTTACGTCTGTCAGTCGATAACTTTCAGAATAAGATTATTAACGTTTTGAGTTGAGCTTGTACTGATAAATACTAGTGTGACAACTGCACAGATGTTTGTCAATTAAATACTGGAAGGTAATGTCAGTCAGAATATGCAAAGGTTAATGATTACAGTACGTGACCTTTAACATATAAATCTGAGTAGCTTTTGCATATTAAGATAGAGGCAGATGAAGACGAAATTATTTTGCCATAGTACTATAATAGTTAAGTCATAAAGCTTATGATGCGTTGAACATGTAATTTGGATTGGCAAACAGAAAACACATATTGAATTTTAATGAAGATTTTGGAAAGTCGTTACTTTGAAGGCCAGGATAAGGATTGTAAAATAATATTTAAATGGACCTTTTAGTACACTCTTGCATAATGCAGATTGGACGTAACTCCCCGTGGATAGGTTTCAGTGGCTCTCTTTAGATTTTTATGTGTTATTCCTTCAAGTTCCAACACCAGAGATGCATTGCTCTGTCTTGTCCATGTTTATACATTTAGGTATTATCTCTGTATTTCAGCTGGAAAGTGAGGATAATCGCAAAAACTTTGTCAGTTCAGCACGAATTCTACTGCGGCAGTACGCCTTTGACGGTTTGGATCTTGCCTGGGAGTTCCCTGAGATCTATGTGAAGAAGGACCGTGGTACTCTGGGTGAGTACAGATATTAGGAATTTGGCAGCCCAGAACAAATACTTATGGTTACAGAGCTTCTTAAATATGTGTATCCTCATAAGATTTTAATCTATGAGTACAATGATGATTCATGCAGCAGTCATGTACAATTATATGCATTTAATAATCACAACACTTTGAAGCATTTTAGATATAATATAAATCTGATCCAGTGATAGACAGCATTCACTATGGATCATATTCTTATAACCAGCTCTATAGGGCAGTGTCCTTGGGAAACTAATTGTTGCTCAACTGGTTAAGAAGTATTTAACCTTTTATGGATCCTGAAGGTTCATTATTGTGTTCACAAGAGTCTGTGACTACATCCTGGGTCAATTGAGACAAATTCAATCCACACACCTATTCCCCATTCCTTTAAGATACATCTTAATTTCATCCTCCCATCTATGCTTATGCCTCCCAAGTGGTCTCTTTCCTTAAGTTTCCCAAATAAAATGTATGTATTTATCATGTCCTATATGCATTTTACATGCCCAACCCTCCCATTCTTTTTACCTTGGTAACTCCAGTGATATTTGGTGAAGAGTACGCTCTGTGAATCTCCCTGTTATTCAATTTTCACATATTCTGTTTCAAAGTATTTCATGTCCCAGTCAGTTTGGTGAAATGTGCATAATTTAATCAGACAAAAAGCGAAGTTGTCCCTGTGGTTAACTAAGCACTACGCCATGAAGGCATATGAAGGACTGGATGTACAGATCCACATTTGCTTCACCTTGGCACTAGTTGGAGGTGAGTGGTCAGCTTCACGCCCCGACCGCTTTACCCCTGAGGAAAAGCCCCTGGTACCCAGTGGAAAGGAGGTTGGGTGGACCCCAGAACCAGTCTGAACAATGTGGAGAGAGAAAATTCTTGACCCTACCAGGACTCGGAACTCCAACCCATTGGTCGTCCAGCCCATGGCCAGTCTCTATACCGACTACACTATCCCGGTACATATAACATGAAAATGGTATGCCCTGTTCTTATGTTAGTTGGTGGCTGAGCAGCTAAACTTCAGTGAGTGAGCTACAAACAAAAGACCAAAAAAAAAAAATTGTTGAATTTGTAGCAAATTCCATCACCCACCATAACTTTGTTCTCTTTGTGGCATACAGGGTCTCTCTGGCATGGTTTCAAGAAGACATTTGGCTTTGCACATAGCCACAAAGACGAGAAGGCAGATGAGCACCGGGATGGATTCACAGCTCTTGTTAAGGAACTGAAGAATTCGTTGAGACCAGATGGTCTTCTGCTTACAGCAGCTGTTCTGCCCAATGTGGATACCTCAGTAAGTAGCAATTTCCTTTCTGGGCAGTAGTTGTTACCAACAGTAACGACTGAACTAAAACTTTTGTCTGTGCTTAAGTATTCATCATCATCATCAGTAATCTGTCAAGACGACAGGTCCACAGTCTCTTCCAAAACAATTCCTCCACTTAATGCGATCTAGAGCTTTCTCCTTCAAATGACAGTATCCTCTTCTGTCCCCAAGGTCATCCAGCATCTTCTTACGTCTTCTTCCTCGTCTTCTTGTCACTTCTATCCGCCCATCTATCTTTCCTTCGGTAACTTCTTTTAGAAGGCAGTTTCTGCGTAAAACATGACCAATCCAATTAGCCTTCCATTTTCTTATTTCATGTAGGATATTCCTCTGCTCACTGACTCTAATTAACACTTCTTCATTTCTCACATAATCGGTCCAACTGATCTTCTCCATCCTTCTCCAACACCACATTTCAAAACTTTCCAGATGTTTCTGATCTACTGCCCTAAGTGTCCATGTTTCAGCCCCATACAGAGCTATTACGAAAATTTATAAGATGAATTCTTAACCTTGGCATCAGTCAGAGGGGTAAGAAGCCCAAGAGTGCCCTGCCTACTTCCTGAATAAGAGAATATGTGGGCCTCAGGCTTGTCAGACACAGTGACACCATATAGAAAAATCCAAACTAGTGCTACCAGGATCAATTTATTCCCCCATACATACTTAGCTTTTTTTTTAATACCTATCTTGTGTAACGCCAGGTGCAAATTCAGTTAGAATTCTTGTCATTTGTTGTATATGCTTTCATAGTATTAACTTTCATTTTCAGTGAGTTTGCATTCAGTGTCTATATACACACATGAGGGATACAGTGTCAGAATCAACAGTAATGCACTAAAATGTATAAAATAATTTTTATAAATAATCTCCTATGCAGTGGGTACCAGGGAATTACAAGGTATAAAGACAGTCATAGAATGAAGGTCGTTACTCACCTTATTTAGTGCCAAAGTCATAAACTGTACAATTTGTTCCATAAGCTTTCTGTAGCCATTTACCCATGTTATAATATATTTGGAGGTTTAATATTTAACATGTGGAGCATTGCTCTTCACAGATTTACTACAACTTGAAAGATATCGTGCCCAATTTGGATTTCATCAGTGTTCTGGCATTTAACTACACAACTCCAGAAAAGAAACCTGAAGAGGCAGATTACCCTGCTGCCCTCTATCAGGCTGGAGGGAGGGATATCAACCACACAGGAGATGGCACAATCCGATGGTGGCTTGAGAAAGGTGTACCAGGTAAGCATAGAAGATGAGTGAATCTGAGTTTGGGAAAGGTAAAACAGCGCATCTCACGTACTTTTGTATGCTGTGTTGGTTACTGATATGTGAAACTAAGCATGATCAAGCATATAAGTTAAGTGAGAGGGGTACCCAATGAATGGCTTCCCAACTTGTACTCTTCATTTGAGTGACAAAGTGATTAATCCACATTGACACTAATTGATTTTGTCTTCTTGCAAAACTTACAATAGTGACGAAGGGTAGTCATGAAGTCAGATCATGCTTAATAAATCTACCTGCTTCTCTGGGGCACATATGAAACTAACACACACCGTTGCATTTTAGCTGCACAGTGCATAGAACTGATGGCAAGCAAAACATTAGAGCTTTTATTGAATAGAGAAATACATTTTTACATTCCTCTTAGATTTACTGGTCTGGCAGCACACTGTTCTTTAGTCAAGAGTGTTTACCACTGACTTATATATAAAATGAATTTAAAGACTTAAAATAATTGCCTGATAATTAGTATCACACTTACTCATGATTATGGGGCATGTGGTAATGTAGGCACTATGCTACAAGCTGGAAGGTCGCAGGTTTGATTCCGCATGAGGTCATTGGATTTTTCAGTTGACCTAATCCTTCGAGCTGCACTAGGGCCTTGGGGTTGACTCAGACCCTAACAGAAATGACTATGAGAATCTTCCTGGAGGGTAAAGGTTGGTTGGCATGTAAGGCTGACAACCTCATAGCCATCTGTAAGCCGATTGTCTAGAAAATGTGGGAACCTCAACATCTCACAATCCTATGGGCCTCCAAGGCCTGTTTCAGAAATAGCTTTACCTTTTTTAATTTTTTTCCATGGTTTTTTATTACCTTACTCATGAATGTACTATGTCTGTTGACATCTGTTTCGATTTTATTTAGCAGTATTAAGTGGCTTCATAACTTGCACTCTTTGCCCAGTATACAATGATGAGGTCAAGAAGGATAGGATAGACAAGGCATATAGCATGCATGTGGACAGAAGAAATGCATATAGGGTGTTGGTGGGAAAGACAGAAGCAGAGAGATTGCTAGGAAGACCAAGATGTACGTGGGAGGATAATATTAAAATGGATCTTAGAGAGATAGGTTGGGGTGGTATGGACAGGATTGATCTGACTGAGGATAGGGATTGACAGAGGGCTCTTCTGAATACATTACTGAACCATTGGGTACCATGAAATGTTGGGAAATTCTTGATTAATTGCGCAACTTGCTGCTTCTCAAGAAGGCCTTAGTTCCATGGGGTAATTTTTTTTTTTTGGTTTTGTTAGTATTTCACAGAATAGGACAGACAGGTAAGGTGGGCACAGAATGTGTTTTGTGACAACAATAAATTCAAAAGTATTTTTATTGGAAAACACAATGAGAACAAATGTTTGTAGAAGAATTAGAAATGAACTGGAAAGGGCATGGTGAGACATTTTTTGTGACCTGATATAAGGAACTATTCTGGCATTTCCCTGGAAGGACTGAGGGAAACCATAAGGGCCCCAGTCTGGACAGCTGGTGTCCTCGCTAAGATGTAAACCCATCACTTCCAGAATATGAATCTACCTCACCACACTCACTAAGATGTTGTTATAATAGATCTTAGAGGAACAAATCTTTGTGGTGTGAATGGGATTAAACCAGTATGACTGGGTATGACTGTGAGATTTTGTGGTGATGGTGGTGATGTTCCACAATAGTTTCTTCAACAGGTGAATATCCAAGAACAGCTTGGGAATAACCGTGTTCCTTATTCTTTATTCCAGCTCACAAAGTCATCTTTGGTATTGGACCTTTTGGTGTAACCTGGAAACTGACATCAGAAAGCAAGATATCTGGTGTGCCCCCCATTGGGGCTGACGGTCCAGGAGAGGCAGGACCTCAGACCAAGACCCCAGGTCTGCTGTCATATCCTGAGGTGTGCAGTCTACTTCCCAACCCCAACTTCAAGTCAGCATCAGCCCCTCATCTGCTGCGTCGTGTCACTGACCCATCCCACAAACTTGGCTCCTATGCTTTCCGCCTGCCTGATTCTAGCTCTGATACTGGCCTGTGGGTGGCCTATGAGGACCCTGAAACTGCTGGCTACAAGGGTGCATATGTTAAGAACAAGGGTTTGGGTGGTATTGCCATCTGGGACATCTCTCTTGATGACTTCAGGGGTGTCTGTAGTGGGGAGAAGTTTCCCATTCTTAAAGCAGCTAAGAATCACTTGTAGATAACATGTGACTTTTGAGCCTTTAAGTGTATGAGATATGTTCAATAGCAACCCTGTCAACAGCACTTGCCTGTGATGTGCTAGGCTAGTTCATCCATATCAAACACTATGTACTGGATACCTTCCTTCCACAGCTACTTTGGAGGATGAAGCTTATATAAATATGTGCTACAAAAAATTTGTTTCAGCATCCTAGAAAGCACATCCTGTCTCCTCTATCAAGAACGCCCACATAAAGGTGATAGCTCTTTACATTGGGAAACAGAACTCATGAATATAATTTATGGGCAAAATAGTTGAGTCATTAACTATTAAGGCAAATAGTATACATAATTACCACTGCTCTGTTGAGGATTAAGCCAATTGCAAATATCCTGCTCATCAGCATATGGCTGTATTTACTTTGGAGACCATTTTCTAGGGACTGAAGATAAGTAAAGTTCAGATATAAGGGGATTCTCCCTTTATTCTCCATGTTAAGGACCTGTAGTTTCATGACAAAGAACTTCCTGGTTCTAAACTGCTCATAATATCTGCATCATGCTATAAATCTGACAGCTTACTGTATCCAGAAATTGGTTATCGCACATTGATCATGTTTACATCCTTACTGGGATTTCATATCCCACGATCTCTAACCACAGTTGATCTACAATTATTAAACACCATAAGACTGGCCATCCACTGTACTTTGTTGGTAGAGAATGTAAGCTTTGGTAATCAGCTTAAATGCAGAGCTCTAATTTCTACTGAAATAGTCTGTAAATGGTATCATAATTTGGAGTTCAGATCAGTGCAGATGGATATTGTGTACTGCTTCAGTTATATACAAGGAACAGAAATATCTCCAAAACAATAAAAGGTGTAGTACAAGAAGAAGAGAATAAAGTGTTTCTTAACATAGTGATACCGTACATTTCTAGAATTTATTTTATAGACTTCAAGAAGTTTACTAAGGAGGGAAGCATGTAATTCTCATGGAATTCCATATATAAACATAGCTAGTCTAATTAAAATTTGTTAGATGAAACTTATAAACAATTGTTTGATGCATTTCTTGTTTGCAATAATCTGAAAGAAGGAGATGCATTATGACCATTCCTTCTTTGACTTAGAATATAACATTATGAAGGTCCAAGAATATTAGAAGGGATTAGAATTTAATGGATCACATCAGCTTGCCCTCTGTGGCAATGATGTCGATTTACTGGTGAAAACGTAAGTACTATAAAAAGAAACAGAAGCTCTGTTAGATGCTGGCAAAAATTTGTCAAGAGATGAACACAAGGAAACTTGGGTATGTACATTTATGTCTCCCCAGAATGTGAAACAGAATGATGGCTAATAAGCGCTCTGACAATTTATAAAATTGAAATATTTATGAACAACAGTAACAAATCAAAATATCATCAAAGGTCTAAATGTGTTAGGTGCCCTGTGATCAAGAAGAGTATAGAAGTATGTTGTCAATGTAACAGAATACAAAGCTAGAGGTATTGCTTCCCAGTACTAACTTCAGCACTCACACAAAGGCAGAGAGGAATTTTCAAAACCAGATGAAACTCTTTTGAGTCAAAAAGAAATGCAGTGTACTGTCAGCATTCTTTCTTCAATGGGATTTGTAAAAATGCCTGACTGAAATCAATCGAGTCCATATAGCAGGCACCATGAAACAGTTGCAACAACTCATTCAAAGGGGCCATTCACTCGCTATCAGGTATCATGTGAGACGAGCAGCTATGCAAATTCTTGGAGCCTTGTCTTCTCGATGAACAATGGTCATGAGACTGATAATGGGCAAATCTGAAATTTCCAAAATGTCTTCTGCCCATATTTGCTCTATTTGCATTTTAATCGTAGGGTGTATGGCAAAGATCACACATCTTGAAGTAGTCATTATTATTATTATTATTGGAGGGGGTGGGTTTTCCCCATGCACTTAGACCAGTTATTGGTCCATTGTGCGTCCCCCTTTAATTTCTACCGTCCCCATATCCTACCAGTAGACGGTGCATGCTATCAGCCCCGTTGAGCCAATGAGGTTGGCAGGAAAGTTTTACCTAATAATTTTGCTCAGAGGTCTCCTAGAGACATGAGGTTCTTTTACGTGCCGTAAATCTACGACACGGGACCCATGGCTTAAAGTCCCTCCTGGAGGACTTGTTCCCTGAATTCTTCTGCCCTTAAAAATTCCACGACCTCCACCAGGTTTGAACCCACGTACCTTGAGTCATGAGGTGGGAACGTTAGCCCTAGACTACAGAGGCCACTTTTGAAGTAGTCACAGTGCAACATCATGTTTCATTGAGGTTTCACAAAAACCTTTCAGCCTTTCTGATGTCAAGATCTGTGGAAGGCTTCTATTGGAAAGATGAGCCAAGGAGGAGAATATGCTTATAGGTCAGGAATGACTTGCAGTCAGTGGAAACATACCAGAGTAGCATGATATGGATTCTACTACCAGCTCTGCAACAAAACTGATCCTCACATGATCTCTCATTACCTGGAAGTGTACCATCTGTGGCAAATACTGCTCGCAATGTTGCATACTTGTTTGGTCCAAAAAGATTTGCAAACTAGTATATTTTGTTAATGATGATAAATTTGTACAGTTATAGAATTTGAACATCTCTTTCTTTGCTTCCTATTTGCTTCATGCTGGTTTCTTTTTTGGTTTATTCATGAACTCTGGAGGCTAAATGTTCCTCTGAAACGTCAGTCAGTCAAACATACATGTTACAGTCTAGGGGAGAGAACAATTTGTGTAATTGTATTTGGAACTATTTTGTACATGGTATGTTTCACACTTCAGAATATTTTCATGTTATGACAACTAATCATGGGACAGCCAAGATAGCTGAGTCAGTATGGTGATGGGCTACTGGCTGGACACTTGGGGTTCGATTCCTGGCAGAGGAAAAAGATTTTCTCTATAGTGTCCAGGAAAGCTCTAGGACCCAACCAGGCTCTTCCCAGGGGCTGTGAAGCTGACCACTCATCCTTATATTGCCAAGCTCAGGAATGGTGGAGCTATATCCCCACTCCCACATAAGTCTTCATGGCATGGTTCTACATTAATGATGCAAAGGAATGACTGTACCTTACAAAGAGCACTATACCAGAAGACAGTACTCTCCATAACCACCGCTGTGACCACTGTGTCAACCTCTTATGCTACAACTTTACTTTACTTTTACTGATGAGATGTCTATGTCATTACTTCATCAGAGTTGTCTTTCTCCTAGGCATTTTGGAGACAGCAGAAAATTATACCATCTGGGATCAGAGATGTGGAGACACAGATAAGAAGTGCACACAAAATATTAGTGCAAAACCCTGGAGTAAAGAGATCACTAAGAAAACTAAAACCAATACGGGGAGATAATATTAAATTGGATCTCACAGACATGATATACTTGTGTGGACTGGTTTCATATGGATTTGGATAGAGTGGGCACTTGTAGGCCTAATAATGAATTGTCGGTTGCTTAGACATATTTCATTAAAGTGACTGCTAATACATTATCTGCATTAAAAGCACCTCTGTTCTTCAAAACCAAAGAAACTTTAATGAGACACCGACAGTAGCACAGCCGCACAAAACAACTTTTGTGCTCACAAATACATTCTAATACATAAACTGTTAACATATGGCTGGCAGTTCTTCTCCTGCACATTCGCACTCACTCCCCTTGCCTCAACTTTCACATGAACAAACTGAAATGTGAGTCAGACCCTTCATATATGCAATTCTACACATTTCATTTCTGACCTGATGCACGTCAGCTGCAAATGATGTTATCACTTTATTATGACACTACAATGATCCAGTCCTTTCATTCATTCATTCATTTATTTTTCGTTCCATGGATCCACAATACAAGTGAGATATAGGACATGTCCGTACAGTGATTATTCTTAAAATTAATAGAGCAAGAACTCAGGAACTCAAGTTTATTGAACCATAAGCATGGTCCTTCAAAAACCACATTTCTATCCACTCATGTAAACACTGTCCACTTGAAAGTTAGCATTGTCTTCTTCACTGTGTACAAACGTGTGTTCCCCAAAACATTTCCCCAGCAATGTAGCACAGTTCTTTCTGGAATGTTTCTCCATGCAAGATCTACCTTCCATGCAATGGATGTGAGTGCCATATCTCAAGAAAGCAGTGGCACCTTCAGCGATCTCATGATAGTTCTGAACTACTCAGACTGTCAGTTTCATGGGACAGATGGTGACGAGTAGAGTGCTTCTTGATTCTTGTTTGGAGCAATCTAGTTGTAACCTAGCCTATCACAATGTCTATAAATGTGCTAATTGTGTATCACTGGAAAGCAGGTTAAAAGACACTTTACTGGTATTGAGTTCATCTCAATTCATAATTAAGCTCTTATATAAGGAGTTAAACGAGGCCAGGGCAAATTACAGTCCTGTTTGTGGTGCCATTGCCGAGAACGAGGCATATGTAGAGGAAGCCCAGCTGGCGTCGTGGTCCAAAGTTACACCAAAATACTCAGGTGGTAAGCATATAACAGTGAGTTCCGAGTTATTGGACTCTTGGCGACCAACCCCAGTCTCCAATAGATATTCAGTTCTATCTTATTCTTCGGAATCTACGATACGCCATGATGAAATGGCCACAAGGAGAAGTGAGAAGGTAACCCAATTTTGCACCAATTACTATAAGAAGAATAATGAACAAAAGGAGTTAAGACTTCATCAACATCATCAATTCATCATCGCCACACGCAACAACCGCCCATTCCAAGTTATTACACTCCTGGAAGTGACCACGGGAGAAACTACCATCCAAATTGCATCCCAACACTTGTGAACGGTGAAGTATGTGTCAACAGGAGGAATGTTAATAGGCAGTGTGAGAGTGATAATATGAATGGCATGCACCTTTTAGTGCGGGAATCCTCGCAGAAGCTTCTAGACTACAAAAAGAGTTTTTCAAGTCACCGCAAGCATAAAGTTCTGCTGTTAAGTGATAGCCATCCACATGGTTGTGCAGCTCATATGAAAGATTTTTTTAATGATCAGTTTGAAGTACTTGGTTATGTTGAGCCAGGAGCTTCATCTAAATCTGTGATGGACTCAGCAAAGAATGATATTGGAAAGCTTACGATGGACGATTTTTTAATTATTTGTAGTGGGACAAATGATGCAAGTAGAAATGACCTTAGAAAGGCTTTTCATGATGTGATCCAAACTAACGTAATATTGGTAAGCATCCCTATAGACATGACTTTATGAACTCCCATATTAATAATGAAATAAAAATTTTTAATAGGAAGTTATATAAGCTAGCTAAGTTCTTTTCCAATGTTAACGCAATGGAAGTTGAGAATAACAGACAGCTATTTACTACACATGGATTGCATTTAAACAGGTTGGGTAAAGAGTTACTTTCTAGCTGTCTACTTTTTCATATTTATTCAGTTTTGAAAGAAGATAAGGGTACTACAATATCTCTTGCTTGGCCAAATAGTCATTCACAGAATAAACAGGCAATGCAAGATTGGATATATACCACCAGCAACTTGTAACTGATAAGAGAAATCCATGTAGAACCTCTATTCGACGAAAGAGGCCACCTGTAATTAGGAATGACGATTATTTATGGTAAATTCACCTACGGACAATAGGAATTCAATTCATATTTCTACAAATCTCAACATTTATAAAGAGTGTAATCCACCTGGGAAAGGTAGTCACCTTAAACATCATTCCTGTCTGTATGATAACACCTCTGACTTTAGAATTTTTCATCAGAACATTAGAGGATTGAGGAATAAAACCTGTGAGTTATCAAGTGCATTATATCCTGATTGGCCACATGTTATCTGCTTAACAGAACATCATCTGAATTCTCTTGAGTTCGAAAATTGTAATATTGACCATTATAAGAGGGGTATTATGTACTGCAGAAAAACTTTAGAATGGGTAGAGTTGGGATTTTTGTCCACAATTCCATTAACTATTCCTGTGTTAACTTGGGCAAATTGCATGTCGAACGAGATATTGAATTATGTGCAATAAAAATACTATCAACCTATATAATAGCTGTACATAGGGCTCCATCCAGAAATCTTATTCAGATTTTAAACAACTTAGATATAGCATTAAAATCTATATTTAACCATAATGCGAAAATTATTGTGTGTGGTGACATCAATATTAATTACCTAAAGGAATCTCACATGAAAAAACAACTTGACGTTATCATGTCATCATACAGTCTTGTTCCTATCATAAACTTCCCAACTAGAAGTTATAATAGTATGGAGTCGCTGATTGACAATATATTTATTGAATCACTCAGTCTATCCTATATTTAATGGTTTATCAGATCATGATGCTCAACTGTTAATTATTAAGAATATTGGTATGCATCTCCACAAACAGAAAATTATAACTAGAAGGAATATCAATAATCATACCCTGTTAAANATTATGTACTGCAGAAAAACTTTAGAATGGGTAGAGTTGGGATTTTTGTCCACAATTCCATTAACTATTCCTGTGTTAACTTGGGCAAATTGCATGTCGAACGAGATATTGAATTATGTGCAATAAAAATACTATCAACCTATATAATAGCTGTACATAGGGCTCCATCCAGAAATCTTATTCAGATTTTAAACAACTTAGATATAGCATTAAAATCTATATTTAACCATAATGCGAAAATTATTGTGTGTGGTGACATCAATATTAATTACCTAAAGGAATCTCACATGAAAAAACAACTTGACGTTATCATGTCATCATACAGTCTTGTTCCTATCATAAACTTCCCAACTAGAAGTTATAATAGTATGGAGTCGCTGATTGACAATATATTTATTGAATCACTCAGTCTATCCTATATTTAATGGTTTATTGGATCATGATGCTCAACTGTTAATTATTAAGAATACCTGTATGCATCTCCATAAACAGAAAATTATAACTAGAAGGAATATCAATAATCATGCCCTGTTAAATTTCAAAATGAATTTAAGTTGAGACATGGGACGAGACATTTAACAGTGATGATGTTGATACTGGGCATAATTAATTTCTGAACACTTTTTTGAGAAGAAAGCAGTCTTCTGGGATTTGGCACCGTGTATATGTGGTGTTAACCGACGTTTCGGAGGAACGTATCGCCCCCATCTTCAGGGTAGAAGAAAAAGTATAAGAAATCTGCAAGCGACAACACCGTGAGAAACGGTAAAGCAGATTGCCTCTTCTTACTTTTACTTTAAATTTTAGGTTTTTATTAAACTAATTAGAAAGGACCAGTAATCAATGTTACTAAATGTAAAATGTTTTATAGGTCTCTTGCTGGCTCTTACTTAATATACTTTTATGCTAATCATACACATTATTATTGAGTGACTGATTTATTTTCCGATTCACAATGTATTATGCTAAGTTGTTTGATTTGTAATTGTTTGACTGACACTTTAATATTCAAAGCATGCATAGTATATTCTTTGAGTANCAGATCATGATGCTCAACTGTTAATTATTAAGAATATTGGTATGCATCTCCACAAACAAAAAATTATAACTAGAAGGAATATCAATAATCATACCCTGTTAAATTTCAAAATGAATTTAAGTTATGAGACATGGGACGAGACATTTAACAGTGATGATGTTGATACTGGGCATAATTAATTTCTGAACACTTTTTTGAGAAGAAAGCAGTCTTCTGGGATTTTGCACCATGTATATGTGGTGTTAACCGACGTTTCGGAGGAACGTATCGCCCCCATCTTCAGGGTAGAAGAAAAAGTATAAGAAATCTGCAAGCGACAACACCGTGAGAAACGGTAAAGCAGACTGCCTCTTCTTACTTTTACTTTAAATTTTAGGTTTTTATTAAACTAATTAGAAAGGACCAGTAATCAATGTTACTAAATGTAAAATGTTTTATAGGTCTCTTGCTGGCTCTTACTTAATATACTTTTATGCTAATCATACACATTATTATTGAGTGACTGATTTATTTTCCGATTCACAATGTATTATGCTAAGTTGTTTGATTTGTAATTGTTTGACTGACACTTTAATATTCAAAGCATGCATAGTATATTCTTTGAGTATTTGGTGTATTGTATATCTGTGAATGGTTCTATATTAGACTGGCGACATTTGTAGTCTGTTCTTGATTGATGGAATATTACAATAAACTGAAACTGAAACTGATGTTTATTGCGTTCTTTGAAGGAACATGACATGTATTTAGCAGCCACTGCTGGATTTCAGTACTTTTGTTCCATGTGGCTGACCATGGTGATGGCCATCCATTAGCAGCAGGGCTTTGGGCCCAGTGTTCCTAGCATTATGCCCCTGTGACACCATCACCTCAACTATCAATCAGAAATCTTGAACTCTTTCCTTTCATCAAACCATTTACGTTCTTCTGCCTGCTGGAACATCTATACGAGGGATCCATAGTTTCCTGTGACAGATGGAGAATGAGGTGTCAGCAGGTTACTACAGCAAGAAGCACACAATTGTGACAAGGCCCATACTCTGCTACAAGATGCGATCTACCATGACCTCCCCACTGATGGCCAGACACAGAGCAGTGAAATGTGTCATGCTGCTGTCTTGCATCACCTGTACAGGAGATGATAAACTCAAAACCCCTGTGCTGTGACAAGTCAGCAGACATGCTGCTTTAAGAACATTTATCTCATCTCCTTGCTGATGTATGCTAGCAGCAACAGCAGATTTCAGGCACATGCCATTATATCTCTGGGGTTGCATTAACTAAGCTGAAGGCCATGACAATGGCATATGAAATAGAGAAAATGAGATGCAGCAGTGGCTAGCTACAGGCCACATTCCTTCATGAGAACACAACAAATATTCTGCTATACCTGCCCCACAAAAGGGATAATCTGAACAGTCAAAAACTATCTGCAGGAACTGCAACCAAGATTTCCACTGATGATGCCACTGAAAGTATGCTGCTAACATAAGGGAAAACCCCTTACAGACTGATCTCAGCATTTCACAACAGGTAGACACATCACACCTCATTAGTGATGAAAGAATTTCATATAACAAACGGCAGCCAAGATACATGTCTCAAGCAGAATAATGACAATGAGGATGATCTTGTTTGTGAGAACACTGAGGGTCATCTTCCGTAGCAGGACACGAGTCTGCGACAGTTCATGATCTGTGTCTGAAAGTCGCTGCTTGCTGCGCAGTAATGTCTGTCTCTGTGCACTCAACTCTGACACAACTTCCTCCCCCACCTGTTCAGTCTCCACAGCTGTACGCTGTGAACGTGCCAGGCTCTCCGCTGTGCGCTCCAATGCTGCATGCCCCTCAAGAACTGTGCGCCGTGTCTCATCTTCCCAGCTGAACCGTGACATGACTGTCCGAAAAGCATAAAGAGGTTAGGGGCACTTATAGAAAGTGCTCTAGAACCCACTGACAGGGAGGTGGATGAAGCACTGTTAAACATTTGCAAATTATGGGGTTCCAAATAACTGCCAGATATTGAGTATAGTAAGCAATTATGAAACTTGTTATAAAGAAGAATTTCATCTTAAGGAATACATTTTTGCCTGTTGAAAACAATATAAAGGATGTCAATTTATTACTTTTATGGTATGTATCCTGTTGTGTGTCATTTATGAAAAGATATAATTTGGGACTGCAACTGTCCCAAATTATTTGGCAATTTATTACCTTCTCTCTTCCACCACCAATAAATTTCCCCAAGTACCCTCTTTATATCAGTTTACATTCAAATAGACTTCCCTACAGAAGTTCTATATGCATTTCTTATCTCTCCATCTTAATTGTATGTCCAACGCGTGGTACCTTATTGTGTCACACTGGAACTTTCCCTAATGTGTACCAGCTAAGTCAAACAATAAAATTCTACAACATTCATTATTTACTATTTTCAAGACATTTTTCTTGAAATGTTCATCTTTGTAGCTTCATGGTTTATCCATAATTCTTATACAGTTCCCTTAACATGAGCCAAAAGATTTTATCCTATAAATGGAGCTAAGCAGAATAAGAGTGGAGCCAGGATATTGTAATCGGTATAGTGACTGGCTACAGGCTGGATGACCGAGGGATTGGAGTTCGAGTCCAGGTGGGGTCAAGAATTTTCTCCACTCCACATTGTGCAGACTAGCTCTGAGGTCCACCCAACCTCCTATATACAATGGTATCTGGGGGCTCGGGTAAAGCGGCCAGGCGTGAAGCTGACCACTCCCCTCCAGCTAGTGCTGAGGTCAAGAAAATCTGGATATATATACCTACTCCCCCAGTATGCCTTCATGATGTAGTGCTTAATCAGTTAAGCACAGGGACAACTTCAACTCTTTTACCTTTACCTTTGATTTCTCATAAATAGCATGTTGTATGTATAATACGTGGGTTACTTCAAAAGTCATGGCAACTAATTTTTTTTAGGCAAACACATTACAGTGAAGAAAGTTCAAAATATACTTATGAAAGGGCATGATATACCCCTCTGATTGGCTTAGTCAGATCAGGTAGATGTGAAGGGGGGTAGTTATAGTAGGCAAGAAAAATCGCACATTACAGAATGACTGTTTCTTTTTCATTCTTTAATCCTCGAAAAATTCAATTGTGATTAAGAAATAAAAAATTCAATGTGAGTATAATTAGTATAATTAGAATGATCAAGTCAAGGAGTATGAGGTGGGCTGGGCATGTAGCATGAATGGGGGAGAAGAGGAATGCATATAGGATATTGGTGGGAAAGCTAGAAGGAAAGAGACCACTGGGAAGACCAAGGCATAGGTGGGTGGACAATATTGAAATGGATCTTTGAGAGACAGAATGGAATGGTATGGATTGGATTGATCTGTCTCAGGATAGGGACCAGTGGAGGGCTGTTGTGAACACGGTAATGAACCTTCGGGGTTCCGTAAAATGCTGGGAATTTCTTGAGCAGCTGCAGATCTGGCTTCTCATGAAGGGCTCAGCTCCCTAAGTAAGTAAACTACTGACTCTATTACAATAATTCGTACTTACGAGCTGTGAGTGGTCAATAAATCTATTGACCAATCCAAACCCCGTCTATAGCGATCTATAGCGTTCTTCGTTCACAAATGCACGTGACAATATTGTATATGTTGGATGCACTGTAAAGGTGGTAAAGGTCGTAAAGGTTGAGAACGGCGGAAAATGTGTCCTAACGTGCAGCTGTGTGGAAGGTACGTAAATTTTGGTGCGTACTCCTGTGCTCTTCGTGAATTGTCTTGTATTTCTTGACAAAAGACGGTGCACAGCGGGAGTTTTTCTGTTTCAGGGTTCAATATGTAGTCAGAAGGGTCAGAAGCGTCAGAAGTAATGTGAAGAAACATGGGGCCGGGAGTCAGTCTGTTTCGTGCCCAATATAACACATGTTATCGGTCCCAGTGACTAGTGTGCAGTTTCAAAGGCATAAAATGTAGGACTGTTCTGAGAATGACATATTTTCCTAAAATAAACCAGTGTTACGTCGAGTCAACCAGCTCACGTATTTATTCACATGCCAAAGCGAATAGATATGTTTCAATGCAGAGTGAAAGCGTCTGTGCGGTGGTCATTTGCCGTTCCATTTCTTTTGTATGTAAGCTTATTTGGTATGACATGGATGTTGTCTTTGCCACTTAAATCTTTGCCACAACAGACTATTACAATTTATGACCGAAAAGCAGTAGCAGAATTACCCAACCATTTAGGTGGAGTTAGATTAGAAAGAGGTGTCGACATTAACAAAAGGTTTCGCAAAGAAGTGATTATTGGAGATGTGAAAGAAGGACCACAGTTTGAAGATCCGAGAGCTCTCCTGGAAAACATTTTTAATAGGTAAGTGTTCTTGATAATAGTTACCAATGTTCATATTTTTCAGTTACGTAAATTTGCTTAGAAAAGGTGGATTTTGTACTTTTCTGTTATGGATAATGTTTCAAATTCAACAGTGCTCATTGGAGTGAGGGAAGGGATGGGTTATGTGCAGTCAAGTTGGGCTCATAGAGTCGTCATTGAAGAAGTGGTGTGTACAGTATAGCACTTCACTTCATCACCTATGTTACTGTAATGGATGCATTCTGTGTCTGTTGAGCAATCCTACCATTATACAATAATATTTCAGTCATACCTCTTATGTATACTTATTTCTTTGTATTTTTTAACATGCAGACAAGGTTTAAGTGAAAATATGTCTTAACCAACCAAGGCAACTTGAACACTTTTAAACAAAGAATTAATTTTAAGTAGGGACTGTAATGAAATGATTATGAATTCATCTATTTGTTACAAATTATAAATTTAAGAGCCAGGATAGCACAGTCAGCACAGAAACTGGCTACAGGGTGGATGGCAGAGGGGTTGGAGTTTGGGTCCCGGTACAGGCAAGATTTTTCTCTCCTACACAGTATCCAGACCAGTTATGGGGTCCACCCAGCCTCCTATCTAGTAGGTACTGGGGGCTCTTTCCCCCAGTGGGTAAAGTGGCTGGGGCATGAAGCTGATCACCCACCACCTACTACTGCCAAAGGTTAAGAATATATTAGCCTCCACATCCACTCCCCCATATGCCTTCATGGCATTGTGCTCAATCAGTGAAGCAAAAGAACAACTTTATCTTTTATTATAAATAAATGTAACAGCTGGAACTAAAATATGTACAGTGTAATGGAAAGGCTTGTGAAGTTGACAGATTAACGTGTCAATGCAGTGTTGTATGCAGTCAGCAAAGATAACAGGCATATAACTTAATTGAAAAGTTCTGTATATTGATAGTATATGGATTATATTTTCTTTAGATACAAACAACCACATGAAACTGAGCCTTCAGTAAAGAGGTTAGGAACATGACATGTTCCCATAAACTGGGCCATCACATAGTTTTAGCTCCCTACAGTATTCATCCATGATATGTATACAGTGGCCATCTTGTAGTGCACTCAGTTTCACCTGTCACTTCACAACATGTTTCGGCAACATAGTGCCATCATCAGGTGTCCCAATTACGTTAATCTGTTGCGTTGCTTGCCCTCATGTTTTCACAACACCATTTAAAAAGTATTTAAAAAGTCCATATTTGTCAAGTATGATAAATTTACACTCGCTAAAACTTGTTAAGATAATTCATGTTATTTGTCTTAATTAAAACTTGCATGTGGTTCGTTCACTGTGGGGTCATTTTTCTTATTTTCTGTGTAAACCGCGTCTTGTGATGTGTGTTCCCTTCTTAGTTGTGAGTGTTGTACAGTATTGTTATTCAAGGTTTTTGATGTGTGTAGCGAGAGTAAGCTTTGTTTGAACTCGTGTTTGAAAACTGTTTGCTTATGAAAATAATGTGAAATAGACTTGTGCTATTTCGAATTGTTTCATTTTGGTCCGTTACACTATCAATCACAAAGTTAATAGAAAGTCCGTCGAGTGTAACAATTTGTAGGTCACTTTTTATTATTATTTCTGCCTTACATGCTTCAGTTTGACACAACCATCATCAGAGGCACTTGCTATAATTATGGAAACACTGTCGCCTTTTTTTTTTTNGTTAAAATATGTACACGTATGTACATACATGTGCTGTGTACACAGCACACAGGAACATATCAAACCATAAGCCATACAGCCTTAAGCTGACGTCTCCCATCTTTGGGATGAATTAACAAGGAGGAGTTCAGCATTTATATCAAATATTTTAAGATTTTAGCGTTTTAACTTAAAATAGGTTCGGATGGAAAGTGAGAACTTGAGAGTGTACTCAACTATCTTAGAATGTTTTGTGCTTTTACACGTCAACATATCGTAGCAGTGTCCACACGACAAACATAACTGTGAACATAAAAAAAAAAAAGCGACAGTGTTTCCATAATTATAGCAAGTGCCTCTGATGATGGTTGTGTCAAACTGAAACATGTAAGGCAGAAATAATAATAAAAAGTGACCTACAAATTGTTACACTCGACGGACTTTCTATTAACTTTAGACTTGTGCATTTAGCACTTCATAGAATGTTGGATAGAACACAGCTGAGTCCGTGTTTTCATGTATAGTTGTGGCATGTTTCAGCCACATGGGACCATTCCCAGGTATATATGATGATTACTATAAAAGTTGTTGCACTGTATTCAAATATTTCATGGCATGCAATTTATGTAACTCTGAAGTTTATTTTTAAAGTCCCAGTTCTAATCAAACTCCAAATAACACGATACTTGCAGTATGTTGATATTATCTGTGATCGAAACAAAACAGATATAGATCAAACCCAAAAGGAATTCAGTAAATTACAGCCCACATTAAACTGCAGTATGGAGAGAGAACTACACAACTCCATCCACTTTTTGAACCTTACAGTATGTAGCAAAGATGCAAAATTAAATTTTTGAGTATATAGAAAGCCACAAAAATGTATATTGTAATACAGTGGGAATCTTGCCACCCATATGAAGACAGATTATCATGTGTTTGTGCAGCTGTCTGGAGATAGGGACTAGCTATATCGATGGGGCCCAACTGAGTAGGTTTCACCTGAAGAGGGAGACAGAATCCAATCTCTGAAACATTGTGTTTTGAAAAATAAACAGGACGGTTTTTAGACAGAGACAAGATGATGCATAATGTCGAAAACGTAATATTTGTACCATAATTGCACAGTTTAGGGAATAAAGTTTCTGGGACATGAATTTGGCCATTCAACTCCATCCTATACTGAGGGCAAGAATTACATGCACGTACACATGTGTGTGTGCGCACGCGCGCACGCACACACACACACACACACACACACACACCCCTTAAAAATTCGGCATGTAAGTACTACCATATACCAATCTGTAGACTAAATACTAATTATAAACATAAGGTCATGGGTTTGATTCCAAATGAGGTCATTGAATTTTTCAGCATACATAATTTTTCGAGCCACATTATGGACCTGGGATCAACTCGCTAACAGAAGTGAGTACCAGGAATCTTCCTAGGGTTAAAGGGTGGCCAGCACATGAGGCTGACAACCTCACTGGCATCTGTGAGCTGATTGCCTAGAAAATGTGGGAACCTCAGTGACTCACAGCCCCATCAGCCTCCTCGGTCTGTCACAGGGATAGGTTTACTTTTATCACGTACAGTATATAACATATTGTTGGCACATTACGAGAAACCAAAGATACCCAGGAAATACTATATGCATATCACTGCTGTGACAACAAAACACAAGAAGAAAGAGCACAGAAGGACACAAAACACAGCTTAAAATAATTTCAAGTAGATTCCAGCTTAATTTCAGAAAATAATCTTACAGATTTACACATTTTGCATACCATAAAATATTAAGAAAGCAGTCTTCTGGGGTTTGGCACCGTGTATATGTGGTGTTAACCGACGTTCCTCTGAAACATCGGTTAACACCACATATACACGGTGCCAAATCCCAGAAGACTGCTTTCTTCATAGTCACCGCCATGAAAGCCTCAAATCTTACATAAAATATTAAATTGCAGTGTAGTGTAGTTTATAAGAATTATTATGTATGCCCAGTGATGGCCTCATGTGACTGAAACATGTTGTAAATATATATATGTATGTATGAAACATGGACTGAGTGGTATTGTAACCAACAACCAATGATGTGTTGCATTTACAAGACTTCATTACACATGTATATGAAGTGTGCTTCTAATGCAACAGAATGCTGAATATTGTCTTAGTTAGTTAGTTAGTTATTGGAGAGGGTGGGTTTCCCCATGCACTTAGACCAGTATTGGTCCATTATGCTTCCCTCTATGATATTCTACCAGTCTCTATATCCTACTGAGATTGGTGCGTACCATCAGTCCCGACCGAGCCAGCGAGTTCGGCCTCCACTAGCTTGGCGGTATCTATAATGCTTCCCTCATCAATCAGAGGTGTTAGAGACTACTTGTTGGGCGGGAAAGGTCCTTTGAATTTGGCTCAGTGACCTCCTTTGGAGATATGAGGCTCTTTTACGTGCTCTAAAGCTGCGACATGGGACACGCGGCTTAAAGTCTCTCCCGGAGGACTTGTTCCCTGAATTTTTCTGCCCTTAAAAATTCGACGACCTCTGGGTTTGAACCCGTGTACCACGAGTCATGAGGTGGGAACGTTACCTCTAGGCTACGGAGGCCGCTTGAATATGGTCTTACATAAAATGAATAAGATATTTCATGTCAAATTGTGGGAGGCCTGTGAAGCTCAGATAACTCTGCAAGAGTGAATCCAACCAAGTGCAGTAAAATGGCTGACTCATTTGGGAGGGATTTGTTATGGATCTTGGTGACCTAAAAGAGGTTGAACATTGCTGTCTTATGGGTTGTGATGCCATGCAGTCTGGTAGATTATTATTAATGTTTCAGAGGAACATAATGCCCCTTCTACCCTGAAGATTGAGCGAGCAGGCTCCTCTGCAACCAGATTGCATTTTGTAAAATCCCAAAGACAGTTATGTTCATAGTAACTACTGTGATAACCACAAATTTAATGAAGTTTTATGTGCTTTTCTTCAGTCTCTTTAGGCAAATGATGTGATTCTACCTGGCCATGATTTCTCCCTCCCAAATCAGTTTTGAATCATGTTTCATTATCATTCTGTTGTATCTTGTCAGAATTCATTGACATGAAATTAAATGATAAAACAAGTATTATAAGAATGTGTACAGAATTTGCCGAGAACGACATGTGTATTTCAGATTTCGACAAAAGAGCCCACAAGACCGGTAAGGGGGGGGAAAGACAAAGAGAAAACATAAACGACTTACGAAGAAAGCAGTCTTCTGGGATTTGGCACCGTGTATATGTGGTGTTAACCGACGTTTCGGAGGAACGTATCGCCTCCATCTTCAGGGTTGAAGAAGTATAGGTAAATCTGCAAGCGACAACACCGTGAGACACGGTCACACAAATCCCAGAAGACTGCTTTCTTCATAGTCACCGCCGTGAAAGCCTCAAATCTTACATAAACGACTTATGTTAACCAGTGGCCACGCCATAGCTCAGGCGGTTAGTCGCTGGCTTCCCACCGCGGCGGCCCGGGGTCTGGCGAAGTGGGATTTATGGTGGACAAAGTGGCGCTGGGGCAGGTTTTCTCCGAGTACTTCGGTTTCCCCTCCCTATCTTCGTTCCACCAATTGCTCCACAATTACCCTCACCTATCATCTGGGGCTGGTACAAGAGACCAGAAGTGGCCGCAGTACAAGGGACCTAGTAAACCAGTACTTTTGGATGGGCCCACCACTTTCAGGCCTTACGAAGACCGAAAGACGGGATTTATAGGTTTCCCAGGCAGTGGGAAGGAACTTTACTTTTTATATTTGTGTTGGACTTGTGTGATTTATGCTAGTGAATTTCCACGACGTTGGGAAAACGGCCAGAATTACGGAAGCTAAAGGATTATTTCAAACGATATTTAGTCTTGAACTTGAATGTAGCTTGTACAGTAGTTATTTCCCGATTTTTGGATTACAATTTGAGCATCTATGTATACGTGACGATAAGTAATGTGTACATGCTTCAATATTTTCCCGTGGTGATCGTGGCGATCGCCACCGGAAACGGTAACCGGTAAAATGGGGTAGCCCTGAAAGCTGGGTGGAAAGTAGTGCATTTATGTAGTTTTCTCAGTAGGAATGGACGCATTGACGTGTTACTGTATACATCGCTTAAGTATAGTTTGGTAAGATCTGTAAGTCACTAATATGCTGTGATGTTCGAGGAATGTGTTGATTATTTGTTGGATTTTCTGTGAAGAGGTAAGCAATGGCGGAAGATGTGCTTGTTGTGCGTACGTGTTTTCATGAATTTTGTAAAATTTTTTAGTATAATATGCGCAGAAGGATTTTTTTTTTGTAATTGAGAGGTAAGTATAATTTAGTTGATAAGCAGGTGTGTGTTGTCCTGAACGTTAATATTCCTAGATTGTAGATGAAAACTCTAGCTCAAAAGCCGAATCACAAATGAATATACAGCGTTCGGCATTGCGCTTGCAAGTTTCAACCGGCGGGTAAATGGGAAAGGTTAGAGCAAAGTTTTTCTTGTGCTAAATTAATTAACCACCAAGCCATAAAGACGCATCGGGCATTGAAAGTATAGCTCCACTATTAAACTCTGCATTGGATGGAGGTGAGTGCTGAGCTTCACTCCGCGGGGAAGGAGCCACCGGTACCCACTGGATAGGAAGCTAGGTGGGCCAGTAATCGAACCCCCAGTTCCGTGCCATCCATCATGTTGCTATACCAAGTGCGAGCTGTCTTGGCTCCTAAAATGGTAGGGGAAAAGAGGAAAACACTGGGTAGGAATTTGGGTTGGAAGCAAGAAGTGGGCTGCAGGTTTCATAAAATGTGTATACTGAACCAGGCAATGCATGGCATGAGCTATATCTTTTTCGTTTGTATTTAGGGTTTTATAACTTTATCGTGAAGTTGCAGTCTGCAGTGTATGTTTTTTTTTTTCATTGTACTCGTACATGTTTTCAATTCCTCATGAGCATTTTTTTTTTAACTTTTCATTTTTGTATCTGGTTTCTGTTGCCTTTCTTCTTTCTGTGTATAATTTTGGCAGTTTTATGTCACAGTTGTTTCTGTATTCCATATTCATAATCATCATTTTTTTTTGATATTTCTTTTTGTTAATGCTTCACTTCCAGCCCATTTCTTGATCATTTCCATTAACACTTATCCAATGCTTACAGGAATATTGTCTTATGTAATTTGTTAATCTTCATGGTCATTGTTACTCCATGTTCATGGCTGTTTGCAGTGCTGACATCAGTGGAGATGGACTCCTCAGTTTGCAAGAGTTGTCAGACTGGATTAATGAGAAGATTCAGGAACATATCAATGAAGCGCTGAAGGAAAACTTTGGGCTCTTTGTTTCCATTGACAATAAGCCGAGGAATGGTAGGTTGCCATCCTGTGTTATGTATTAAGTTGCATGTAGTGAAATTCAGGTTATGCACAATACTGAACATAGGAGATTGTGTCTCAAAGAAGTGGTATGCATGAGGGGTGTTGACTAAATTCATCTGTTGTTATGTATGGATCAGTGGTGGGCTTTTGTGAACATAGTGATGAACATTTGGGTTCTACAAAATTCTGGCAAATTCTTGACCAATTGAGCAACTGTTATGGAGTTAGGAGGAGATGGTGTTTTCAAGGAAGGACTCATCTGGAATGCCATAGGCTGTACTCCATTCTACTCTGTGTGCAGATCAGAGGCTTCACCTTTGCTGATGCTTAGACTTCGTGAATGCTGGGGATATTAGAGCCCTTCTGTGGTTAAGAGCCTCCTTATTTTTGAACCTTTGAAAGCCATCATTGGCATGTTCCTGTCATTTGGATAGTGGAATGTATGTCACAAATGCTCTTCAGGATGGATTGTTTTACTTCTGTAGGTAGAGCCTGCAAATGTTGAAGAGGCTGTATTTGGAGCTTTTTTTTTTTCTGCATTCAAACACATTCAGGCTTTGTTACAATTGAGTTTTGTATTGAACCCAAATCCTTATTTTCTTTGTTACATACTAAGCACATTGGCTCAAGCATTAATGCTTCTGACATACAGGAGGTTCTCAGTTTGAATCTCAGTCAGTACACCAACTATTCTGACTGAGGTTTATTGGATGTTTTCGGCAGTTCCTCCAGGCAAATGCCAGATAGTACCTTAAAATTATGACATGAGCATTTCCTTTCACATCCTTTGTGGTTCATTATTCACCTTTATTTGGTGATTGCATGCAGTGTAACCCAAGTTACCACATTTGTATTATACTACAAATAGACATTCTTTGTTACAGAGGTTTTTGTAGTAGAATTTTGTACTGTATATGCAACATTGCTCTTGATGTTCTGAGATAGATTATAACCTTAAAGTTTAGTCTTATTTGATTGAAATATTGTTATTTATCATTATTTCATTTGATGGTAAGTGGCAAAATTGGAGTAAGCTAAAAGGAATGCTGCTCATACATTTTATGCTCTGTTAAAGCATTAAGGATGTACAGGAGGTAAGACAAAAGTAGCTTAAATTCCAATTTGTCAAATATCTGCACTTTGCATGTCTTGAAGTCAGAAGCAACATTAAGTGATAGTCTTAAAATTTTAATGTGAGTGCTATTTTTTATCACTTTTCTTGGCTACATTTATTATTTATGTCACTCGTTATAATAAAACTTTTGAGAGTGACTACTCTGAATCGAACCTGACAAAAAATTGTTGAATTTAAATTTAATTATTTTTACACAGAGTAGTAAATCTTGTTTTAATATAAATAAAATGATTGTTATTTATTACATTTATGAAAACAATTCAGTTTATTCATTTCGTATTTTGAAATACCCTCTGAGAAGAATTGAACTTGACAACACTGTAGTTGTCCATAAGTTGGCTTCGTTGCGCAGTTCAGTAGTCCCATAAGAGTGGATCAGTGCCACAACTGAAGCTCTAGCTGATGTGTTGTAAAGTTTTAGGTTAATCGTAGCTATATTTCTCTTTGTTACATTGTGTTTCCATGCATCACGATGCCAAAAGCAACTTGCTGTTGCAAAGGAAGAATAGTGACGTGTACATATGAGAAAAGTGGAGAGAAGAAGAAACTCTCTGTGGCTTTGCTATGCCACTGTGTAAATGTTTCCATTGTTACTGCACTTCTACAGTGAATAACTTGCAAATCGAGTTGAAGTCAGAGTTGTTTCAGTACATTGTTTTAATTTATCCTGAGTGATATAGTGAATGAAAATGTAATTTTGCAGAATTATTCCTAAAGGCTAAAATTATAAGTGTAAAAATTTGAAACTAGTACCATTTTTACGTGTTTTCATCTGCTGTAATGTACGAGGTGACAAACTTCTGTAAAGAAAGCAGTCTTCTGGGATTTGGCACCGTGTATATGTGGTGTTAACCGACGTTTCGGAGGAACGTATCGCCCCCATCTTCAGGGTTGAAGAAAAAGTATAAGTAAATCTGCAAGCGACAACACCGTGAGACACGGTAAGGCAGATGGGAGCGATACGTTCCTCCGAAACGTCGGTTAACACCACATATACACGGTGCCAAATCCCAGAAGACTGCTTTCTTCATAGTCACCGCCGTGAAAGCCTCAAATCTTACAAACTTCTGTAAATTTGGTGGAAATTAGAAGCGCAGTAACTTTTTAACGGATTAGTTAATTGAATCAGAACTTGTTTAGGGATTTCAGAATAAAAGAATGGATGATCTATACAATTTTTATCTATTTTGTACCATTTTTAAGTATCTCATATGTCCTTAAGAAGTTAATTGTGTTTCTGACTGATGTCAGGAGACAATACAAGTACGAATGGAATGACAATTTATGTAGCCTTTTCACCGAGGAGATTGCTGTAAGAGTAATGCTCTAGATTTGTATTCAGGAGTTGCTCAGTTCAAATCAGACAGGGCACTGGCTATATTTGGCTGAGGTTTAGCTTTGTTTTCCTCAGGCCCTCCAGGTGAATGCTGTGTGTATCTCCTGCCATGGGATAGGGAAGGCTAGCTTAGATCATGAACACCCCCACTGCTGGCCAACTCTTGGTATGCATGACTAAACTCTGTAAAAGTGTCATGAGACCTTTAGTTCCATTAATGGGGAGATGAGGGACCTTAGGCCTTGTTGCTGGCCCTTTAGTGCTATGCTTGCTGTAAAGAAAAAATGGGTTAGTACCCTCCTACATTTTCCTGCCACTGCTACTTACCTGTCTAGAATCAGTCCCTTAGTCACATGTTCTTTTCCTGCCATCAACTGATCTAGCCATTTCACTTGAACACCACCCCCCTCAGGACACTTGTATACAGGGGAACACTAATTTCGTTTCCAGTCATACAGGGTTGTAGGGGAATGAGGTAAGAGGTTATTTCTTTGGATGTCAGCTTTCGGAAACCTGGTACTACCCTAGTAATAGAAGTTTGCTTAAATGTATCATGTACAAATTTAGCTACATACTGGGCAGTTACCACTCTGTCACCTCTTTGTTGAAATATGCCTACCTGTTACCTTAAGAAGTGGCCTTATTATGAAAGTAAGTCAATACCACTGACTATAGGAGATGTAAATGCAAAAGTATACTGGCAGAGACCTCCCGATGCCTTCCATGGCTGGTCAGCATGTCTTCATGGCAAGATAGCTGTGCAGACAGTCCCTTGTTCATAAAGGAATATCTTTAATGTACTTGGTCAATGTACTGCCATGGGGAACAGCTTGGTAACTTTTCTGCAGAGTTGTGGGATTACACTGGGATCCCTGATTTCGCCATGACTGCCTCCTTCCAAATCCTTTCAAGTCTGTCATTAACCAGTCATACCATTCAATGTTATATAGTCTGAGGTGCTGACAGTTTCATTGAATAAACTACAAATTATATAGCGCTTCAAAGAATGTAGGCTGGAAATAATTAATGAAGCAGTTCTTTGTGTCCTACACCTGAAGGTATGAAATTTAACCATCCGGATTGGTTGGTAATGGTGGTGACAGATAGCAAAGGGGACCTGCGGTGCAGTGTGAAACCAAACCGTGTCGGATTCCTGGTAATCCCTCAATGCTTTCCTACATTTAGTATCAGCCTTTTTGCTCCTATATTACCACACTCATATCGAGTAAATTTTAATTGATAGTACCTGAATGTTATTTTTAGGAATGGTATCATGGGAAGAATATCACACTTACTTTCTCCAGCAGAAAGGATTTAGCAGAGAGTATGCAGAGAACCATGACAAGAAGCACAGAGGGTTAAATAGGTCTATGAAAGGTATGTGTAATTCCCCTTAGTGAGCCTTCACACGGTTGAATTTGCGATACAGTGTTATAGCACAATACAGGCCTAGCACATTGGAGACAGCCTGCTCAGATGATATGTAATGTTTCATTTTTCAGTATATCAGGTGAAGAGCATATACTGGTTTTCTGAGCCATGGATGAGATCAGTGGTTACAAGTAGGAAGTACCATGTGCATCCCTCTACAAGAGTAGTGAAGCCGACAGTTCTGTTGTAGCTAGAAAACTGGAACAGAACAGTGAAAAATTCTAACAATTTTACAGAATGACATAAGGATTTAATTTGTTGGTAGACTTTGCGAGGCATGAAGTAAGGAAAAAGGGCACTAACTAGGGAGTGTCGAAGAAAGAATTTTGATTGTATTAAGCTATGGTTCTTTCTTTTTTCTTTTTATTTTAAATTAACTACACAATTTTTCAAATTCGTTTTTCTAAAGTTAAATAAAAGAAAAGTAAAAGAATGTATGCTTATGTTAAGCAAATTCGAGACAATGATCTTAACTCAGAAGTCCAGTTGCTCTAGTGCTTTTATTCTCAGGATTGATTACTTTGAGATGGGTTGGTAAAAATAGTGTAACTTGTATACTCACTGCTAGGCAATGGCTTGGTAAACACATTCCCGCAACAAACGTGCAGGCAACAGTAGAAGGGTATCCGTTGTTATGCAACGGAGCTGTAAACACAGTGTATTCAGTGGGGTCTAACCCAGGGCTATATAACGAATGTGTGGGAGTTTGCAGCAGACACCCAACTAGTGAAATTGCAGCGCCTGCAAAATAAGGTTCTCCGCACCATTGGCAATTTTCCAAGGTGCATACCGGTCCGCGATTTGCACCTGCCATTCAAAATCCCTTATGTATATGACTATATAACAAAATTATGCAGGAAACAAGTAGAAGTCATACAAAATCATGAAAATGAGAATGTTCGCAACATCAGACAATGTGAAGCCCAACACAGAAAGTATAAGAGGCTTAAACTTGGTGGCGGTCAGGCATACAACCATTCAAGTGACTAGGCTGCCGTAATAGCGCATACTACTAGAAGTTGGGCATAATCTGCTGTGCTAAGCCTGGATTGACAGAGGCCTTCTATCTATTGTACATAGAAATAGGAATTAAGATTAAATTTGTAAATATATGTAAATACTGACAATGGACTTGCTAATATGGACTATGACAAATGACAGACCCGACCTCTCGTCAGAGAGGGCCCCCCAAATGGACAGGACAGTAACTGTCATACATGGGTCATTTCATAAATACTGCACAGGTTGGCAACACTGCGGATTAGATGATGCAACAACAGTGAGCCTCACATCAGTTACAGTTCAGGGCATGAGAAAGAAGCACGTTATTTTATTCATTTATAATATACTCTGTTCTTAAATAACGTGAGTTAGAAATGGAGCCTGCACGGTTCTCGGGTATTGTGACTGTTGAAGATCAAAGGTCATACATTAAGATCGAAACTTTACGTGGAGAAAACCCGACAGAAATCCACAGCTGAAATACAGTCCAATGAGTGGAGAGGTCCATCTTCCCCATGGCCAAAAAATTTTTGTTGATCTCAATCAAAGGTCAAACAAATGATGATCTTTGCTTATGATCACCAAGGAATCATCATGACAGATAGAGTTCCGTGAAGGAAAAGTGTCACAGCAATTTATTATCATGACTTTATGCAAAGTTTGAGCAGAAAAATGCACAAAAACCGACCTCAGTTGCTCGAGGCTGGGCCGATCATTCTCCATGACAATGCTCGCCCACACATCAGGAATGTCGTAACAGAAAAGCTGCGACAATACGGTTTGGAGGTGTTGCCTCATGCTCCCTACAGCCTGGACATGAGTCCACCAGACTTTGACTTATTCAAAAATTTGAAACAACCTATGCGAGGCTGTCGTTTTCCCTCTCTGGAAGAGCTTTCTGCTGCAGTACCTGAGCCTTCGACGGATAAACAAAGAAGGTGTCCTGGATGGAATAATAAAGCTTCCCAAATGTTGGGACTCGGGTCATTGAGAAGCAGGGGGACTATATTGAAGGACTGTAAAGAGTTATTAAAAAATAAACACGGGCGTAAACAAAAAAATGTGAGCATTATTTCTGAAATGACCTACGTATAAGGAAAAAAACAACAAGAAAAAAATGTGGGGCTCGCCACCAAGACAGACTGAGCATCAGTCACAATGTGACTTGGACTTGGACCTAGATTAGAGCCCCGTGTGGAGGCAGGGTCAAATACCTCCACCGTGACCCTGCGAGTTGTAGGAGGCAATGAAAAGGGAAGTCTGAAATCTGAGACAGTAAAATATGGTCACGAGTGCCAAGGTACTCTGACCCAAGAAAGACTGCGCTGGCAAGGACCAGCAGCATATACAAAACACAGACCCATCCTCTCATCAGAGATGGTGCCCCACAGAAACAAGACTGTAAGTGTCAAACAGTAATAAATATCTGGTCATGAGCTCCAGGTGGGACTTGACACCAAGACTTACTGACCGACCGTCAGTCGCAGTGTGACTTTGACCTAGATTATATTAGATTAGAGAATTGGGATTGGGGGTTCAGAAGTTGTAAGACAGTTGTTGTGGAACAACTAGTAGTTCACTTGTAAGAGAATTCAGAAGGCAGTTCAATAAAAGGTAAAGTTGTCCTTGTGGTTAACTAATTAAGCACTATGTCATTAAGGTGTATGGGGGAGTGAAGGTATAGATCCACATTTTCTTAACTTTGGCACTAGTTGGAGGTGAGTGGTCAGCTTCTCACCCCTGCAGCTTTACCACCCAGGAAAAAGAGCCCCTAGTACTCATTGGATATGAGGTTGAGTGAGCCCCCCTACCCCCTCTCTGGTTCATGCTTGTGAAGTCTGGTATTAACCCTTTGGCGCGGTCATTTAAATTCCGCGGCCGCGTCTCCGGCGGTAATATATTCAGGCGGCCATTTAAATTTTGCTCGAAAATGATTTATTCATCATTGTTCTTAAATTCTATGAGATAGGAACATGAAACTTTCACTAAAATGATCNCTGGGGATACTCTGCATTAGCATGTCTGAAAAACTTCAGCTAGGAGGCAAATGCTGCATGGTGTCACACACTGGAGTTTGCCAACCTGTGTTGAATCAAGTAGGTTATAAAGGGTTTTGACAATGATGTATAACACTCAGAAGTACTGCGTTTTTGGGCTTTGTTTATTGTCAGGTATTCTAAAAACTATAGAACACAGTGCTTTGGAAACTAGGTGTTTTTCTGTCCTCAGCTGAGTGGGAGACACCTACTTTGTTGGGTCCTTTAGAAAGAGCTAAGCGGTTGAGTTTACACCCCCCCCCCCCCCCNAACACAGATCCAGTTTCCAAAACATTGTGTCCTAGTTTTTGGAATACCAGACAGTGGAAAATAAAAACCCAGTGATTCTGTGTTTTGGATCAGTATATGCAGACATCTTCAAGTCAACCATTTGGGTAGATCTAGATTAGAGAGTTATAATTACTAAGTTTTCTTCTCTGTTGCACCTATGGATTGTGCTTATACCTGTGCTGAGAGATTTTCAAATGGAAGGATTGTGTTTGCCAGGACCTGCCGTTGTGCTGTCGGATGATAGCAGTGAACCATTCCCACAGAGCTGTTCTGGGGATGAGGTTTGCTGGTTTAAGACATATGAGACTGTAGCCACAAAGTTTTCTAACAGATAAAAAAACTTGGAATTTATTCTGTGTGAGAACTTGTTCAGTATTTTGCGTATGTGTGTGTGTGTGAGCACGCATTTCATTAATATATTTTATTTTCTATAGAGGCAATCATGCGGGACCGAGCATCATGGTCAGAAGCAGCCCACAGTGACCCTGATCATCTCACACTGGATGAATTCCTTGCTTTCCGACACCCAGAATCAAGTCATGCGACAATTTTAACTCTTGTTGATGAACTGTTTGATAAGTTTGGTAAGTGGCTTTAACAAAGCAAGTAAATGCATAATGTGACAGTCTTCCACAAGATTGCTGTCTTGTGGCCTGTGACACCCATCTGTTACGTTAGAATGTTAGTAACACTGTACCAGACTGTATGGTTTTGCATCATAGATGAGAGCAGGTTTCACAGTCACTGGCATGAGAACCTCACTTGTTTGGCTTTTGTGTTCCCATTAATGATATGAAGACAGGGCAGAGAGTTTGAATAAAGTAACTGACTACAATGGGACATTGATATTGCCAGTAGAGGAGTGACAGTGAAATAATTTTGTGTTTGCAGAAGTTGATTGTATGTTGAAGAGTTCTGAGATATATTGAAACTCAAAACTTGCATGGTTTTATGTTGTTTTGTATCAACATAGAGGCAGAGCAGACTTCATAGGATCCTTGCCCATGTTACAGGAAGTGGTTTCTTGACAGTAGTGCTTAGTGTGGACACTGGAGGTCTCGACCGTGATGCCAGTTCAGCACGTGTTCCAGAATGACCATCAGCTTTCACTAAATACTGTTAATGATTTATGTTTTCGTATATTATTTATATTACACCCCTTTGCTGTGAAATGTGTCTTGGTAATAAAATGTGATCTTTACAAAGAGTGGTCACATTGACGCTGGAAAATTGAAGAATTTAACATGGGTTCATTTGTGTTAAATGTTTCACTTACGAAATCTTGGTAGTAGTTGTGTGACAGCGGTAACACCTTGGCTCACTTGCTGGACATGGGGGAGAGTCACTACTCTTGCTGAGTTAGTGTTAACATATTAAAGATAAGAGCGGCACGCACACAGGGAACCTACACAGAATAATATGTGAACGGTGCTGAAAACAAAAAGTAGCCGCTGCAGCACATGTAGACGTAGAGCAGGTATCCCTGTTATTTAAAATTTAAATCAAGAAGTGTATATTAACAGAGATTTAAACTACTTCTTCTTCTTCTTCTTCTTTGGCACAACAGCCCAATAAGGGAGGCCTTGGCCTCCCTTATCAAGCCCCTCCATTCCTCTCTATCCTGCGCTGCTCTCTTCCAGTTCCTTACACCCATTAACTTCTTTGCAAGTGGCTCTCAGTGGTCTCTAAATTTGTAACCAAAGTTTGTGTTGGAATCTCCATTGTTGATTACATGTATGAATAATATTCCATATCAATTGAAGCTTCTGAGCTTCGTTTTTAGCTTGATGTTGTGACATGACAGCTGAAGGCCAGAATATTGGCACAGATTGTGGCAACCCTTGTTAGGCAGCGGCACTGTAAACACGTTTTCACAGCAATGGATACACATGCAACAATGGAAAAACTTTTGGACTGTGGTTTCTGTGAGGGCTGTGCCAAAGTTATATAATGAGGACCAGGCAGAAGCAGAAGAGTCAGCCAGAGCTAGAGTTCTGAAGACTCCCAGAGCTGTCAGTAATATATGGCCAGGGGTTCCATGGGACTTGAAACCAAGCACCACTGTCTCTCTCTGGGTGGGGGGGCTTAACAATCCAGTTATTGTTTGTTTTCTGAAACACTGCAGTTTGGATACTGAAAGGCCTGTAAAAACTCGGGCCAGCAGCTGATACTCGGGGGTTTAAATGTTATCTCTTGAAGGTTCAGATTGATCTTACAGAAATAAGATGGGGTGGAAGGTACTGGATTCATCTGGCTTAGGATAGGGACCAGTGATTGTGTTGGGATTAACCCACATCTGCAAAGATTTCAGATGTCTACAAGACCCTTGTGGAATTTCCTCTATCAGCTGCAGACTGTTTTGGGTTTCACCTTCACTTCTTTAAACTCGGATCTTGAGTTAAGAATTCCGTAAAGTGGCATGGACCTTCAGTGGAATCTTTCGCATTGCAGATCGAGATGGGGATGAGATTCTAACAGAAGATGAGTTTTCTAGTTTGCAAACTGAAGGAGATGGTGAGAAGGATGGTGAGACACTCACTCAGGGAGAAAATGAGAGACGTCGGGAGTTCCGAGATATCATAGACAAAAACCATGATGGGAAAGCAGATAGAAAAGAGTTACTGGTAAGGGAATTGAACAATACAGGGTGCGGCAGCATAATTTGCTGATTTGAATTTGGCGCCAGGAAGCGAGGTTTGGCCGTTAGAGGGTGCGGATGGTCTCATTTGAATGGATGGGTTGGGAAGTTTGTTCTTCCTTCCACTTTAGTACCGAGAATGCGTTGAACGAAGGAACAGCACGCATTTGCCATAGGGGCTTACTTTTCTAACAGTTGCTCAATCGTTGCCACGCAGCAAGCATTCCGTGCGCACTTCAGTATTTCCGCCCGAGTTCATGTTCCTGGTCGGCAATCGATTGTTACGTGGGCAAACACATTCAGGAGAACTGGCAGTGTGGAAAAAAGAAGATCAGTGGAACGGCCTGTCAGATCACCCCAAAATATTGAGGCGGTAAGGCAGTCTTTTTTGCGATCTCCTCGGCGCTCAGCACGCAAGCATGCAGCTGCGCTTGGAATGTCTGATAATTCTGTGAGGCGAATTCTTCATGATGGCCTCCACTTTCATCCTTGCAAGTTGGCTGTGGTGCAAGAACTCACTGAATGTGATTTTGATGCTCGGTAACATGCATGTGAAGTGTTCCTTGAAACTTTGCCTGATGATACGCTTGTGTTCTTTAGTGACGAGGCTCATTGCCATCTTTCTGGATGCGTGAACAAGCAAAACATGCGCTACTGGAGTGATAACAATCCCTGAGAACTTGATGAGAGGTCCCTTCATTGTGACCATGTAACTGTTTGGTGTGCACTGGCGAGAGTAGGGATTATTGGTCCCTACTTTTTTGAAGAGAATGAGGTTGCAGTTACAGTGAATTCTGTTCACTACGTGAAAATGATCAAAAAATTTTTTTGCCAAGTCTTGACGAAATAGGTGTTGGGGATGTGTGGTTTCAGCAGGATGGAGCCACGGCACAAACTGCAATGTGTGTTTTGCAGGAACACTTCCCTGGGCGCCTGATTTCTTTGAGGAGTGATCCTTCAGTGGGCGGCGCGCTCACCCGATGTAGCCCCTTGTGACTATTTCTTAAGGGGGTATCTGAAATCCTTCATGTACACCGATTGTCCAAGGACCCTTGCTCAACCGAAGGAGAATATTCACCAAGCCATAGCCAACATACCCATTGCTATGCTGGATAGAGTTGACGGACACTTCAGAATTCAGGCAAATCAGTGTATCGCCAGTGGGGGGCACCACTTCTTGGATACAATTTTTAAAACAGAGTAAACGTAAATTTCCAGTGTTGTAGAATATGGTGAAAAAATAATTACGATACCTATAAAATCTTTTGTTTTATTGACCCTTCAAATCAACAGATTATGCTGCCACACCCTGTACTACAGAAAATGGGTCTTCTGTTCTTGAAATGTTTTGCTTTACATAGATACAAATTATATACTTGCTGGTGTGCGCACATAGTTTGCACATGGATGTGCTTGGAGGTAATTGTATTAATTGTTTCATCTTCTCACAGGCATCACATACTTTTCTCTATGAAATTCTTGCTAAAAGAAATATCTTTGTTAATTGTCCTTTTCCTGCGTGACACATGATACACAGTCTTAGCAGTTTGCATCCATGGATACTATATTACTTTTCTTGTATGATTCCTGCCTCATAGGCAGCTATCTTAACCACATTATTCTTATGTATGCGGTAATTCATATTGACAGCAATTTAGATCACTTTGTAGATCAAGTACATGGCTGCAAGGGCTAGTGTGATAATAAATGTTTGCCAGGGTTTCCAGTGGACTTATAGTATGCACTGTTCAGAAGGTACACAGTTACACCCACTTCTGGGCTACAGTGGCCCTTGACAGCTTGTGTCATTATTGATCACCCAAATTGTGTGAAAGCCATGTCTCAAAAGTCACCTACTTTGTTTGGTCATGTTATATTGTTCGTGTGGTGTGTGTGCCACCAGATGTACATCGATCCGAAAAATCCACGTCATGCACGCGAAGAAGCTGAAACATTACTGATGCTGTCGGACACCAATCATGATGGCAGTCTCTCTCTGCAAGAAATATTTAACAAGATGGATCTCTTCCTTGGAAGCAAAATGGTGGATACAGCTCGCAGTTTCCATGATGAATTCTGAACTTAGATGGCATCAGTATCCAGGGTGATAACTTGGTACAGTAAGTTATTTTTGTGACTGTGGAGTATGAAATTTAGCCATTGAAGGGAATACTAACGGCAGAATGATTGTTTCACATGTATCATTAGTAATTGATTGAGAGTCTTTGTTAATTTTACTGTTGGATAAATAAGTAGTAAGGAAATGTTAGCTCACCTAGCAGACTGCACAGTATTGTAACCAGAAGGTCACAATATGAATTAACCCTTTATATATAAATATATAAATGAGGCAGTCTCTCTAGCACCAGTGAATGGGTAAATATGAACCAAGCTGAAACTCAGTTATTCAGACTCTTAGAGGCACAGAGTACTGTTGGAAGTGTTCTCAAAATGCTTCTGATCTTATGCATTCGCTTTGGTTGTTTCATTCTGCAGCTTCGCCTTGTATGTTTGATGTCAGGGAGCCACCAAACCATTATATTGTATTTCTTGTCTAAGGTAGTTCCAAGACAGTTCCTTAAAGTAAATTTTTGCCATTTTCTTTATCCTTTCCAAACTGCATTCACAGTTACCCCAGTTTTTCTTTCCAACCCCACCCACCTTTTTATTTCTTATTGAATTTGTTCAGTTAAATAAATTAGAACAGATGTAAATGCAACATCAGAAAGTTAAGACTGTGATTGTTTGGAAAGTTCTAAGGAAGTGGGCATTCAAGCAATAGTTGGAATCAGCAGCTTGCACTTTTGTGTACTGTATTGGAGTATTGGCTCTGTCGATAATGATTCCTTCAAAGCATTGAAAGCTGTTTCAGTTTTCTCGTTCCAAATGTATGGCGTGTTCTTTTTCAAAAGCCCTGTGAGGGGTTTGGCAATTTTACTAAAATTTGGTATGAATCTTCTGTAGTATCCTGCTACGCCCAGCTATCCTTTTAAGTTTTTGAGTGGTTGTTGGGGTCGGAAAGTTTTTGACTACTTCTTCCTTCCTCTCATCTGGCTTTACTCCTTCACTCGTGATGATGTGTCCTATATATGATACTTCTTTTCTTAAAAATTCGCGCTTATTGGGTTGCAGTTTCAGATTGTGCTCTCTCATCCTCTCCAGGACGTCTTTCAATTTACTATTATGGATTTGTAAGGACTCTTCAAAAACTACAATGTCATCTAGGTAAACTAGGCATTTTATACCTTGGATTCCAGTAAGAACGGAATTCATTATTCTTTGAAACCAAAAGACATTCTTTTGTATTCGTAGTGACCTTGAGGGGTGCTAAACGCGGTTTTAGCTTAGTCTTTCTGTTTTACGGGTACTTGTAAAAACCCACTTGCACAATCAATTGTTGAAAAATATCTCTAATTTCCTAGGGCTTCGATTACTTCTGAAATGACTGGTATAAGGAAGCTATCACCAATCATGACGTCATTAAGTTTTCTAAAATCTGCTACGATTCTCCATTTCTTTTTACCCGAGGTATCTGCCTTCTTAGGTATGACCAAAATTGGTGAATTCCATGGGCTATTAGTAGGGGCGATAATGCCATCTTGCAGCATTTGTTGAGTTTGTCTTTGTACTTCTTCCTTATGAACTTCTGGAATCCTATATGACCTTGTGTTTATAGCCTGGTTCAGATTTATCGCGGGAGTAGGGATGGCGTGCTCGGCAGCGGTGGTAAAAATTAGTTTATCTCCAGGTAAGTGAAATACATCATTGTACTCTTTGCAAATTTTGAAAAGGTATACTCTCTCTTCACTGTTCAAGTGATCGGTTCTCAGTTCATTCCGTAATGTAGCTAGGCGATCATTGTCTTCTGCTAACTGGGAAGTAAATATCATTACTGTCTTCTCACACTCACAACTAAAGGGGGTTCAATTATAACATCTATCTCTAATGAATTTATTATGCTTGTCACGCAGGTCCCATTGATTTCAGTACTCAACGACTCTGCTAGATATACACCGGGTATTAATTCTTTCTTTGAGATTAAACCTTGTCCCTTTGATGGGGTGGGCAGTCTCACTAAATTTTCTGTTCTAGCCTTCAATGTAATTTTAGTCTGTCCTTGCCCCTTATATTAGGGTCAAACTCGACTGCTACATTGTCCATAGTAATCCTTCTGTCACAGTAGCTTATGTTAGCTCCCTTATCTATCCAAAAGTCACGACCTAAAATTCCGTCGTATTGCCATTGAAAATTGTTATTCATAACATGGAACATATGCGTGGTTTCATACGGTCCCGCGAATAGCCTTAACCCTTTGGCGCGGTGATTTAAATTCCGCTGCCGTGTCTCTCCGGCGGTAATATTTTCAGCCGGCCATTTAAATTTTGCTCGTAAATGATTTATTTGTCATTATTCTTAAATTAAATGAGATAGTAACATGAATCTTTCACTAAAATAATCTTAAAATGTGGTTTTATAATCTTACCTTATAATGTGAGCGCCCTGTATCTCGGCGATGGAAGCAGCTGGTTTAGAAGTGTAGTAGTGTATGATACGCCTTGAAGCATTCTTCTAAACACAACGCTGCCTCGCATTCTCCACACCAATACTGCGTATCTTTTCTCTGGCCCTTTTTTCCGCAAACCACACACCTTCTGTGCGGTCTTGCCTTCTTCCCCGTGGGGGGAATTCGCTCAAGGAAATGTCTTTCCGTGAGTCGTTTAGGCGGCGGAAGAACTGACGGACGGCCGTGTACAGGACGACGTACCCCAGAACTGTGCTTTTCCACGAGACCTTGAACTAGGGAAAGTCTGAACTGTAGAGTGTCCAGGTTTTGTTTGTTTGTGTGGGACCGATAGATTACCATACTGTTGTGGATTGCTACATTGAGTAACCGCCTGAACAATTTTAGGTACCACTTGGTACCCTTCTTTCGTTCAAGCAGGTACGGTTGTAGCATCTGGTCTTTCAGATCCACCCCGAGCATGTTTTTGTTGTAATCGCAAACAACCACAGGCTTTATTTCTGTCTTGTTTGCACGATTAACAACCACACGCATATCGTTTTTATGGTATGTGGATATCATGGTCACCCTTTTTTTGTCTTGCCACGCAAGAACTGCCACGTCTCCTGAGTGTTGAGCACAGTGTTCACCTTTTTTCAATTTCTTATCTTTCACTAAGGGAGGGACATTTTTCCTGTTGGGACGTAAGGTTCCAACACAGTCTGTATTTTTAGACTTCAAGAAACGAGCCAAATCAGGGGAGTTATAAAAATTATCCATCCACACTGTGTGTCCGCGACCCAGAAGATTTTCTAACAGTGTTATTACAATTGCTGTAGTTTTGTTTGTCTCTGCAGTCACATACTGATTTGTTAGTTCCATTCCTTGTCCAGTATAGACAAGAAAGGACCAAACATAACCAGAACTAGACTCGCAGAGTTCAAACGTTTTGATACCAAATTTCGCAGCCTTGAGTGGCAAGTACTGCTTGAAAGACAGACGACCTTTCCATAGGGTCAAGGATTCATCTATGGCAATGTTGTGACCTGGAAGATAGAGAATCTGAAATTTTCTACTCAGGTGCTGAATGACGGGATAAATTTTGAAAAGTTTGGAAGGGCCTTGGTACTCATTTTGCTTGCTGTTGTCCGAAAAATGCAGAAATCTCATTATGACCTCAAGTCTTTCCAGAGGTAAGGTCTCTGCAAAAAACGGAGTGAACAGCAGGCGGTTCTTTGAGTAATAAGACCTCAATGTAGGCCTCTGATCAATGCCAGTCAACATAATTAGTGCCAAAACCACGTACATTTCGTCCACTGTCACATCTTCCCACTTCCGAATCCTAGAGCGAAATGTGAGAGGTCTGG